CAATTTAGAAGAACAAAAATAAGTAAAAATTAAATTTTATTAAAAATATTTATAGTATAAGTAATAGTGCATTTTCTACAATTTATTTTACAATTTATAATTCTTTTATATTTACTTTATCTCCTTTAATTATTTTAAATCATATTTCATCTCTACTTACATGAATTTAATTTTCTTATAGCAATATATACGAAAATTTTAATATTATGGTTTTATTTGTTTTTAATCACTGTTATTTGGTTAAATTGTGTAAGAACAAAAACATAAAAAGTAATTTTGGGTTATTCTGTTGGGACAAAAACCATTTTTTGACATAAAAAGTAATTTTGGGTTATTCTGTTGGGACAAAAACCATATATAATTATATACATCAAATACTTCGTATTTGTTAATTCACTAAAATCTTTAGTGAAAAATCATCAAATAAAATCCAGTTAACTATTGTAAATTATGGAATAGAATTTGATAATTCTTTAATATCATAATTCAATTCAATTCAATATATATAATAATTCATGGAATAAAGTTATTGCTGTATATATATTTTTATTAATACAGTAAGTCATATTTATTATCTTAACAAATATTAAATTTGTAGCTATTATAAAATTAAAAGTTATAAATCACGAGAAACTTGAATATTGTTGCATTTAAAATAGCACAATATTTAATTAAAAACAATTAAATAAAATGTGAACTATTTAAAACAATATTTGAAAATTACTTGAAAAGTTTATGAAAAGTTGAATTAGTTCAGTTTTGTATATTAAACCATAAAATATTGTTTGTTAAATTATATACTTCTATTAAATTTATATCAGTTTATTTGTATTTGAAATCTTTGACAAAATGTACATAAATTTCTACAAATCTTAATATTTTTACTATATATGCTTGAATATCTAATTAATAAAAACACTTAAACATATGTATATTTTAAATATACATTAAATTTAATTATCCAAAATCTAAAAAGGTTGAAACATATGAATAATTAATTAATAGTTAGGTTTGATGGAGAAATAATACCTAATAAGAAACGTTTGAAGATTTTGAACAGACATAAACATAAGCAGTAATTTAATTCATCAATAAAATATATAAATAAAATGTAAACTAATTTTTGTTTATCAAATTGATTGTATTTCAATTTGATATAGTAATTAATCAAATAATTAATATACAAAAATTTTGTACTCATTTTTATCACTAAATATATAACAAAAATTAATATTCGGGTTAAATATAATTGTCAAATGTTTATTCAAATAATTGTAATAATGATATTAAAAGAAAAAGTTATCAAATAATGAATTATTAATTAATAATTTAAATGTTAATAATTAATATTTATATTCACTTTTAACATACAGAATTTTTAATTACGTAGTTCTTTGTTTAATTTATTAATATAATAATAATTAATTAAATGTATAATACTATTTAATATTTTTTTTAATATTCTATTAAATTATAATTTTATATTATATATTATATATTAAATTATTTACATATATAATTTGTTCAATTATATTAATTATTAAAAGATCAATGTTTTAATAAAAAAATTTTAAATAAATATATTATTATTCTCACGATTTTTCTCACTATTATTTCTTAATATTATATATTTGAAGTTTTATAAAAAAAGTAGCAATTAGTAATTTAGCACATAATATATTTATTATGTTGCTATAAAATTCTTACTAAATTGATTAAAGTAAAATAATCAAATTTTTTTCACAATTTAACTATAATTTATACATCATATTATTTATAAAATGTTATACTTTAATTTATGAATTACTATTTATAAACTACTTCTTTTAATTCTAGTAAGTTATACAAGCTTTACTTTATTCAGGCAATAGTTTTTAGTATTGAATTATTAGCATTTAAAGTTTATCATTAAATAATACAGCATGTAAAAAATTATTTTGTTAATTTCATTTAGTGATCAAACATACATACTTAATTTTGTAAAAATTTCAGCAATAATTAAATACAATAGAATTTAAGTAATGTTTATAGTTTAAATTTTTTTATATAAACATGTTAATAGTAGAAATTATTTTTCTTAATAAACAAATTCTATACATTATTACAAATAAAATTTTGGTATAATCACTTTTGTACGTAACTTTCCACGGATCTAAAAACATTTTGCATTCAAATCAGAACATATATTCGATTTTCTGTTAAATTTTAAAATATCTACTAATATTCGTTTTAAAATAAATATACATCAAATCTAATGAAAGACGGTTTTTTCGTTCTATATATTTAAAATTATAAATCCTAACCTTAATAAACCCTACCTCGTATTTATGATATATACAAGGCACATGGGGAGTGGGGGGCAATTTCTATATAAATAAAATCAAATGTATAATATTTATCTAACTAGAAAACTGTAGATTTTAAATAATATATATATTATTCATTTATTTTTCAACGATTTGAGAGTTTAAATAGGTAAAACGATAATAAAGTTCATTCCTTGCAGGATGACCTAATAAATATCATAGAACACTTTTTAAATACTCCCAAATAAAAGTTGTGATATTTATTTAATATACATAAGCGAGATGAAATATATCTATATAAGATATAAGTAAATTTCACGAAAAATTTTTTAGGCCACGAAAAGAGGGCGGAGTCGAGCATCTCTGAGTGGAACTTTCATGACCATTTATCCGAAGGTAAAATAGATTTTTTCATAGCTTTCTCTTTAACAATAAAATAGAAAAATAATTAAATTTTATTTACATAATTAAATTAAGTAAGAACATTATCATTAACAATACAAAGTTTAAGATTTAAAAATAATTTTACATTATAAATTAAACTAGACTTAAAAAAACCATGTATTATTTATAGTATTAATTTAAAAAATGTCTAGTTGAGTTTCTCAGTAATACAAACAATAAATACCTTTTTAAATAGTTGAATTTTGAATTGAATAAAAGTAGAGTCGAACAACGTGTTTTACAAATGTTTATACGCAATAAATAATAAAAAAGTGAATTAAATGGAAAGACATTGAGCATAATCATTATATCCAAAATATTTTTCTGAACTTTTTTTCTTAACAAATTACCATAATTATATATATATATATATATATATATATATATCATTATATATATAGAAGAATAGGGAAATACAATAGAACTTCGGAGACCATAACTGTGTTGATAATGTAAAGAATAAGTGTGTTGAATTCAGTAACGCTCGTTTTGCCCCCCCCCTCCGACGTCTTCGTGTACAACCGAACAATTAATCTGAGTGCGAATAAACCGCGAAAGATCACTGCAAAACAAACACTCTCTTGTCTCTTTCACAGCTCTTCCCTACCCATACCCAAATCTTCACGCTTTGCGGAGCTTTCGCCCAGCTCATTCTAAGTACCTGCATGCTTGGTGATCTGCCCTCGTCCTCTGGCAGCTTGTCCGTCTCCATGTTGATCATACCGACTGGGGCCAGCTCCCGTCGTCGGAGCGTCCACCGATCGGAACTTCTCCTCGGAGCCTAAATGCGGCGAGTCGACGAGGAGAAGTTCGTCGAGTCGTCGAAGGAGAAACAGGAAGAGCCACACAATCGCGTCCTAGGTGACCGTACCGCACGAGAGATGCTACGAGAATCAACTATTCACCTTCGTCGCGACGTGACAAACGATCACTCGCGCCCGTCTCTATCTGCTGTATTTGTATGCGCTGCTATATGTGTGTGTTTGTGTACAGCTGCTTCGCGACAGGGAAGAAACGAGGTTAACTTTACAGCGGCGGTGGTGGCGACGATTACGGCTACTTCTGGTACTCACTACTCGTTCTCCTGTAGTCTATTTAACTTTTGTATAATAAGGGGTTACGGAGGAGGAATACGAGGACATCAGCGGTAAAAGTTTTTGTTTGACCAAATATGTACGGATGCGTATCTCTGGATAAGTGAGAGAAAGAGATGGAAGGCGATGGGATTTTTCTTATATACACGTCAGCGAGCGTGTCTCGTCCAAAGCTCGCGCATAAAGTATTTCAGTTCCTGTTGCATATTCCCTGGTTTTAATTGTCGTCCAGCAGTTTGCCGCCTCTCACGCACTCACTTATTCCTCTTTCTCTCTTTCTTTTTCTCGTTGATACCGTCGAATAAACGTCGGGGTCAAAGGCGACGGCTCTTAAATAGACGATGACACACAAATATGATAATAGAGTATCAGCACTAATTAAATGCTGGTGTGAGGCGGCGAGGTTAAGGAAAGTACACTTTAGCAGCAACTTGAACGTTTAGTTTTAGAACGTGTGCGCGCGTTTTTTACTTTTGTTGTTTAAGCATCGAACACGAACGAACGAACTTATTCCAAGATACGGGCAAATGATCGGATACGCATTGCCTGTCCCTTGTGCTGCATAGTCGCCCGCGCGGCGGTATGTCTCATCGTTTTATTCTCTTTCTATAGATTCCCCTGCAAGGAGAGTGAAAATCCGTTATCGCCGCCAGGTGGCGTTGCCAAATTGCTCGTTATCCAAATTCCGGGCGTTCATCAAAACTCACGATGGGTTTAAGATTTCGAATGGGAAAGTTGTTAGGAATCAATTATTAAAATTAAATCTTTTTTTCAATTTTTCTGTTAACTTATATTATATGTAAATTTACAACAGCGAGTAGCTCTCTATGGGTTTAAGAGCTTTTAATTTAATAATGAACATTGATATATTTTTATGTAGTATTGAAAAATACTTCAAAATTTTACTTTTGTTTTAGATATGTGAAATTCAATATCATCATAATTAATGAACATTTTAAATAAAAGTGCGAGCATTTTATAAGAATTGTTGCTTTTAATTCCGCAACATAGATACTTACTACAGACATATTTTACTTTATTTTTTAAATTTAAAATCATATTAAATAATAACATTTTTTCAATTAAAATTCGATATATTTTTCGATAATATACCGAAAAATTATAGATTATGTTTTTCTTTTATATACAAAATACTTGTGCTTTAAATAATAAATTCGTATAAAATAATAACATTTATGTACAAAAACACCAATTATTTTGATGCAAAACAAGAAATTACTATGTCCATTTGCTTAATTCTATCCTTGTAGTCTTCAGTTCTTTTGATTCACTATGATTAATAAGTGATATATAAGGTTTATGACATACTAATGAATCCAGAGGTGGATAGTAGTGTCGATAACATAAAAACGTTAAAATAAATCCCATAATAGAACCAATTATTACATCTGCAATAAAAATAGTTGATTGTATTAAAATTAAATCAAATATATTAATTTTTTTAATTTGACTTCTATATCATAGAAAAATGATAAACTATGACAAATTATTAGTATGATTTTGGAAATAAAATAAAATAAAATAAGATTGCATATATGAATTGGTATATTGTAAATAATGCCTAGAAATAAATGTGTAAAAAACAATAAAAATGTAATGCTCAGTTTCAATTAAGATTAATTAAATTATCATTAAAATATATTTTCATTTCGTAAATATTTTTATATTTATTTATTCCATTGTATAAAAAGAAAATTCTTTTGTAATAACAGAAAATGATTAATAATTTACCAATAATACTATTCTAAGTAATTAATACCTTGCCAATGATGATGATAGTCGCAAGTACGACTTACAGCTATCACAAGTGCTGCTCCGAGTGGAAGCACAAATAAAAATAATTTCCATGACTGTCCTTTCCCATTCCAACTAAAGGTATGAAGTTTACCAGCTAAGTATAATGCCACAAAACCAAAACTAGAAAATGCCACTATAAGAATTGCAGATTTTATTATATGTTAAAACATTACACACTAAATTTAAAACATCAATAACGAAAATTATCATTTTTTACATGAAGAGTGTCCACTTGGAAATGATTTTTTCCCATCTCTTATAATGATTGGATCGCCGGTACATTCAAATTCAAAATTGACTTGCCCATCTGGAAAGCATCTATAAAAGAAATCTGGTCTTGGTCTTCCTATAATTATAATAATTACAGGTTCAAACATAAAATATTCAATTTTACTGCACTAGAAAAAACTAAAGATTCTTACCCACAATTACTTTTAAAATATTAGTCAATACCCCAGTGAAGCCTAAAGATAATGTAAATGATAATATTGCTTGAGAAAAATCACCTTTTTCTTTTTGAAATAATAATGTTAATATAATAACCACTAATGGAACAATAACAATAACTCCCTATTAATATAAAATAAAAATATTTTATTTAATGTTCATGATATATATTACAATTACTTATACAGAAAAAATTACCCATAAAACTGTAGGAGTAACATAAGAATCGACTCGAGGATTTTTGTATAACCATAATTCATTTTCATGGATTTTTCTTGTAAAAGGTTCAACATGTTCCAGCTCTCTATATTTAAAGAAAATAAATTAATTATATAAAAAACTGCATATTTCTTATTAACCATACTTATATTTTCATATCATTCAAATGAAAAATATTCTAATTGTTTATATATTAATAAACGAATAATATAAATTTCTTGACTATCTAAATATAATAATAATTGACGAACTAGTTTTGCCGCAGTCATGCTATATGAGCATCGTAATGCAGTTTATAATGGTCACTAGACAAAGGTTGTTATAGTTTCATAAATTATGAAGATAACAAGTACTAATTTAAAAGTCACACTCACATATTTATGATCGCCAAAAAAACGCGTAAAAGAACCTCCATGAACATGGTTTGTTAAAGTTTTGAAAAATACGTTACAACTCTTTTAATAGATTAACATATTTTAGATAAATTTATTTCCTCGACGTCGATCTTTTTGCCATATCTTCAGAGCAGCTGCTGATAACTAAACAGTAGATAAGACGAATAAATAATTCATCCAATACCCAATAGGGTTTACTTGGAAACTCCAACACCTATTATAAATCTACTTCTTATTGGTCCGAAACGAATGTTGTTCCTTATTCCCTGTCTTAAGTATATAAACAATATAAAAAAATATCCAAGTGTAGATAAGAACATATTTTCAATACTTTTTTTAAATAATAATTTTAGTATAATTTATTTGTAGGAATTTATCAGTTGATAACAATTTATTATCAATAAATAATTTATATTTAAAAAAATGTTTATGAGGATCAATCAAATTAATCCTATAAAATACTGCTTAAGTCTTACATTGCAAATATTTAGTTTTATAATTAATTTTAATGTTTTTTTTTTAACATTTAGAATTTTATGTTATATAGTATGTTAGAAGTAGGGCAAAATATTATATATCATGACTATTATAAAATAGATATTTTTATTCTGAGTAATTTATTAGAATAAGACTATAGATGTCTGAAGATTAATATATAAATTTTAATCCAACTGTTTATTTCAGCTCTGTAAATCTCTTCTATTATTTATTTTATATCCCTTGCTTTTTGAACTATAAAAATATGTCATTACATCTAATGTAAATATTGCAATATTAACATATTTTAATAGGATATTTTTATATTTTTTTGAAAAATTCTAATTCGATATTAATTACCAATATTTTAAAATTAACAATTTCGAACTGTTGATCTCATCTTTTATTTTAGAATCAGAAGAATTTTATTATTAAATTAATAATTAAATTAATATTAAAAAATATCTTTATAATATTAAATATCTAGAATATATATTCTATTTACCTTATTTCAATAGGTAATGATTAAATAGTTCAGATTTCTACTTGATTTTAAGTGATACCGACTAATCCAATTTTTTCTTATTTGATACAACATATTATTTATAAGCATATGTATTTTTCAATATTCTAAATTACTGAAAATTTTATTCACTAGTTTTTAGTATTTGTTTTACTAAAAAACATATGGTGTTATATTTTTAAATTATTAAACTATTGGAAAACATAAAATAATAAATAGTAATAGTAAAATATAAAATAATGAGTTTTATACACTAGTACAATATTTACAATGAAATATTTTAGAGGTTTATTGAAATTAAAAACACAATTTTTTTTTAATTATTCACATTCGAATTAAAGCGATGCATCACGTGCAAATGACGCCTTTCCGGTTATAAAGTTTATTCGTGACAACACCGCATCACCATCGTTCAATGAGAAAATGGCTGAGCAATGTTGATGGCGCGCGTAAGTCGTACGCAGTATATTTTACATTTAATGTAGAAAATTTCATCCAGATTTGTTCATATAATGTCAATTTATTAATTACGGTAGACACTATAGTTTAGATAATTGCGGATACGAATGTACTTATATATAACCTTTAATTGTTCTGTGCAAAATAAAGAATAGTTTTAAGTATAGTACTTCCATTGTAGATACAAATTAAACCCGATGTTTTTATGGATTGGAAAACAGCCAAACATGTGACGCAATGAATATAAAAGATTAAGATATCTTTATCGTGTACAGTAATGAAATATTTTGCATACTATTTTTGTGTAATATCGTTATAAGAAATGTTAACTTCTGCATTGAATGGACGTATTACAAAGTAAGTGGATTTTATTTTAATATCGATTCAAATTATTTGCAGTTATACAAATTTTTTTTGAGTTTTGATATTTGATTGCAATTTTTCTAGTATTTTTATACGATAAATATTTTGACTACATATCTTTTGGTTAATATCGAAAATATGTAATTATAATTTAATTTGTAAAATTAAATTATCTATAAACAGGATTTTTATAATGTTGATTCAGTAAAAAAATATTTTACACAAAATGGTTACTACGAAAAATTCAAAATTTAAATAATTATTCTACAAAATTTTTCTAGGATTTATAAATTAAAAAAAATTTTCATTTTCATTTAGTATAATTTTGTCATATTTATGTGTATTAATAATAATTTAATTATTATTTACAATTAATTTGTAATTTTATTACACTGAAATTTCTATAATAAAATATAAATATGTATAAATTAATTTTTATTATTAATAGTTTTTATCTATTAAATCATAGATCAAGGTGTACTAACAAAATAACCACTATATGACAAATGTCAGATTCAGTCTCTAAATCATTAAAAAAAAATTGGGTTAAAATGTTGTTAACTACAGTACCTACAATATCTACCACTTTAACTAATAACTCTGGATTATTAAGTCCAAATGATGAAATAATAGATGAAAATCCAAATAAATTGATAAACTATTTACATCAGATTGCTGGTAATTATGAAATAGAATTAAATGTGATTATGAAAGATCATTGCTATGCTCGCCCATGGAATTGGAAGCCAGAAAATGTTTATGTTAAACCTGTTCGAAACCTTTTCTTTCCAAAAACTCAAAATGCTATTACCAAGTAGGTATTATTTATTTTTATTAAAATTGTTTTTAAATATTGAATTACAATTATTTATCTTCATAATATATAAATAATAATATTGACATTTCAATTAGATATTAAACAATTTTCTTCTCTTTATCATTAAATTATATTTGCAAAAAATTGTATTAAAATACTTTTTATATACAACAGAGATAATGTAAAACAAGAGGAATTTATTAATATTGAAGACAGCGATCTTGAACCTACTACACCCCCTTTTGACTTAACAAAAATAAGACAAACTATGGATGAATTTCAAAGAGTAGCTAATTTTGTTAGATCAGAAGACCCAGATGATTGGGAAGAAAAAATTGATAAAATTCTTTGGTCTCCAGTACAAAATAGAATTTTTAGTAGAACTGTTAGAATACTGAATTCAGAAAGAGTAGCTAGACTAGCAAAAGTTAATAGTCTTTATGAACCAATTTTACGACGCTCATCGATTGATATGACATCTAAACGGTTTCGTGAAACATTGGCATCTGCTAATTGGGATTGGAGAATTAGTCAATGGTTGCACAGTTTATTATTTGATTATCTACCACAAGAATATTTGGCTATTTACTTAGATATTCTGCAAACATTAAGACAAAAGGTTCCTCAGCTTATTGACAAAATGATAGCTGTACAACCTAATATCAATTCTAAAGGTAGTTCTGTAACTTGGGAAACACTTGGACCATTGTTAAAGAAGTCATGGGATCCAATTGGTCCAGCATTAAATGCTAGCAGACCGGTAATTACAATGTACATTAATAAATAATTATTTATAAATTGTAGTATATTTTTAAGTAGATAAAGATAAAGAGAATGAATTATTGAGTAATATTGTTAAAATATATATTAATTTAAATTATTGATTTAATAAATTATCATATAAATAATAATATTGTTTTTTTAATGGAATACTGTAGTCTATTTTATGTAAATATAGTTTTTAATAATTTACATTATAAAATTATTTATCAATTTAATTAAATTATATATTAAATTATTATATATATTTTTATGCAAATATGTGTTTATTAAAATTAAGAGATATTTATAAAAAATACAAATTAATTTTGTTTACAGAAAAAATTACCAGGTAATCCAATTCTAATTATTGTTCCAAATGGAATGTCAAGTCTAATGTCTTCTAGACAACATAGATGGATTACACAATTAGGAACATTGGGTATGGTTGTTACTGTCAATCCTCACTTAGGTTTAATTGCAAATAAAATGACTGTAATAGCTGGTATTGAGCAATTAATACAAGCCTGTAGAGCAAAAATTCAAGATATAAGAGTCGACTTTCCTGGTAGACCAATTATTCTAGTAGGATTTAAAACTGGAGCTGCGTTAGCTTGTCAGGTATATTAAATTTATTATTGAAGATAAATTAGAGAGTTTATGATATATTGTATCCAATACAAGTATCAAGAGATAGAATTCTTAATCATATTTAATTCTGTGATATCCGTAGATTGGTCAGCTAGAGCATGTAACAGCTATTGTTTGTTTGGGCTTTCCATTTAATACTGTAGATGGTAAACGTGGCGCACCAGACGATACTCTCTTAGACGTTCGTTGTCCTGTTATATTTGTCATTGGTCAGAATTCTATGCTTGCAAGAGTGGATGATATTGAAGATCTTCGTGAACACATGCTTGTTCCTACTAGTCTTATAGTGGTTGGGTCTGCAGATGATTATCTGCGTATCCCTACTTCAAAAAAGATTTCTGAAAAAATAAGTCAAAGCATGGTGGATCGTTGTATTCTCGACGAAATTGGTGATTTTGTAGGGGGTATATTATTACAACCGCATCCTCTACCCCTACGTTCACCTAATAGTATAAATAATTACGAGAGTAGAGGTGTGTTATAATTATTAAAATATAAGCAGTATGAGATTATTTTAAAGTAAAATGAATGCATTTAATTATCAAACCATTATATATTTATATCTTCATTTTTTTATATTGTATTTCTTATTTAAACTCCAATATTTTGTTAAAAATAGATTTATAAAAGTAAAATTAGATGATATTTATTTATATATGCAATTCATGTTTGACTTTTTTTTTATATATATTTTTATATATTTGGTAAATCAAACAAATGGTATATAAATGTATAATAATTTATAAATTTATAAATTGGTTGTTTCAATAGGTAAAAGAGGAGATGTAAGAAAAAGAAAGAATTCAACAAGTAGTTCTGTAGAAAGCGAGCCACAATCACCAAATTTGAAAAAATTAAGGTCTCACTCGCCTCAACAAGCTATTGTAACGGCAAATAATATTACAGGAATTCAAGCAAATGTATTAACAAGGGGAACTCTTGTTGCTCTCACAAGCACAACATCTATACAGACGCCTAGAAAAAAATCGAGGGCACCCTTTGTTAACCAAGGTTTCTCTGATCAATTGCTTACATCAAGACTAACAACACAGGTAAATATTATTTTAAAAATAAATAGGTGAACAGAAGCAATGTAGAATAATTTTTATTGTATAAAATCATACATGTATCATGTATCATATAAAAATTTATCTCATGTGCTTACATATTTAAATAAAGATTTATAACATTAAATTAATATTTATCCGAGGTACATTTTTAGTCTAAGCGTTTAAACATTGAAAAATAATTTTATTACTTAAACGGCTAATTGTTTAATTTAGAAGATTAATATTGAACACCTGTTTTACTAAAATGATAATAATTGAGAAAAATATGTACAAATTTGATTTGGTACATACCAAACCAAATTTGGTTGTATATATTACTGTTTTTAGACTAAAATATAAAAGCACAATAAAAGATTTATTTTATAACTTATTTAGGTTTACTGTAATTCTTTAATGTAAATTAGTTTTACAAAATACTTGTTAAAAATGTTTAACATTGTCGTTTCATAAGCAACAAAATCTGGACAATTCAACGGGTGGAATTACGTTGAATATCGGTTCTTTTGCTAGTCTAGCTCCAGTCGGTCCAATAAGATTTGAACCCACATCAATCAGTCTACAAACACCAGCAGCAATAAAAACTAATAATACATTAAAAGCATCGAATGCATTTATAAAAGTATCCAAAAATAGTCAAATGAACATTGCTGGAGCACAGAACATTGCTAAAATAAAGATGATCATGCCAACAAAGAAAACTACTCAGCGTACAGTTGGAAATAATTATAAGAACATTAACATTGGTGATAAGACCATAAATATGAATATGGTAAATGTTCTAACTCCTACCACTACTGCACTTAGGATTAATCCATCAGCAAAAACAGGTAATTTCATTATTTTAATCTTAATTTTGTTTTTTACTGCAAAGTTTTTACTAAAAATTATTCAATGTAAGTTTAATATATCTATTTAAAATTATATGAATGAAAAAAAAACAAACTATGATACTTGTGCTAAAATTATAAATTTGTATTTTTATGTATTTACAAATATTAAATAGAAGTCATAAAGTACAGTCATATATAATGTTAAATCTTTAGTATATGACAGTAAAGTGGTTAAGTTATCGATCATTTTCACTAACACTTTATTTTTAAATACCACCAAATTCTTAGTATAATTATTTAAGTTTTAATTTAATTTAGTAAAAAATTTTTGTACTTATTTCTATGTACATACTTAACACAAAAATTACAGATAAATTAGCTCATAAAATTATATAATTTTATTTTAAATTAAATTAATTTTAAGAATTTATTAAGTGAACAAATTTGTTAATACTGTAAACTATCTTTTGTAGTTACAAATCTAAAAGCTACTACTGGAAATATGAATGCTAGTCCTTTACCAAGTATCCATGCAACAAAAAGTACAGTGAATTCAAATGGTACGATAATTGGAAAGCCTTTGTCATCTTCAAGTATTCTTTTTACACCTCAAAATTCGTTTATCACTTCAACTACAACAACAACGACGCCAACAACGCTAACTAAAGGTAGAACATTATCTAACCTCTGTATAAATGAGTAACTTCTAAAGAAAACGTTTTCCGTTATACTTAAATAGAAGTGTTTTCAACACAATTACACTGCTTAATAAATCTTTATTTTACATCTAATGTTATAAATTTCAAAATTTTAGAATAATATTAATTTTATTATTTATCAAGCGTTATCTATTTAAATGCGTTTTAAATTAAAGTAAAATTAGATATTTTAATTGTTATAATTATTTAATGCAATGGAATCGTGTTAGGTTTCCAGTCTTCTTCATATCTTACCCACGAATCACGTTTATGTTTAGAAACTAATTTTTCGGTCAGTATACACCTGTTAGTTAATTTATTTAAAAAATTCAAATGTTTTCATTTTTTTGTTTAGGGACTGAATATATATAACATTAAATATAAATACGGACACGATTTGACTAGAATAATTAGAGCGTTGATATATTTAATAGTTAATTAAGTATTGAATTATTGAAAATTAAATATTGAAAATTTTATATATTTATATATACATACTAAATCTTCTATCAGTATCGTTATTCGCAATATAAAGAAATTTATGCGATTAAATTTGTAAAATTGTAAATAAATTTAAAAAGTAAAATGTTTTTTATTTTTTTACGAAAACTTACAAAAAGTTATAACTAAGATTAACTTAAGTAAAAAACCTTATATTTTATATTGAAATAAATCTTTTTTTTACGGAAGTCAAATCTTTTAATTCCTATCCTTATTTCATAAACTTTCCTATTATCCACATAAATTAAAATTTTTTTAATGTTGACGTGCTATTAACTATGAAATGATAAATGCTTATGTAAAATATTAATGTATTTACTTATGTAACTGTACAGATTTGGTATATGTAAGTATATTTTAAAGGTTACTCATTAAAAAATTTGTTCTTATTTAATCATTTAATTTTATATTCATTATTAAGTATGAAATATATGATTAATAAAATTGGAAATAGTTTATTCAACTAATTTAACTAATGAATTTATAATAATAGATTATAACGTTTATTGGAATGAACATTGTACACTAGTTTATAGACATTTAAGCTATACAAAGTAGTAATACAAAATAAAGCATACGACTTTTATAATTAATTAAAAATATATTTGGTATAAAAATAAATATTTACTTTTATATTCGATTAATTTTAAAATACCAATACTTATAAAATTATATTTGAATTGAAAAAATTAAAACTTGCATAGTATAAAATTATTCTTATTCATGCTTAATATAAAACTCGAAGTTCAATAAAGATAATTTTTTATTTTTCCACTTTAAAACAAAACTATAATCAATATAATTATATCTTTACCAATTGATATTGAATAAATTGTGGATCTGTTCTTAAGGTTAATAAGTTTCAGATGAGGTTAAAATAATATAATATTAATCTATTATGTAACGTACAATTTTAAGAATATAAAAAGTTTATAAACTATAAGAATTTAACTTTATAGGAAAGTCATTTATTAAAATATTTATATTTAAATTTAAGTTTCATGAATGATGCAGATTTCATTGTTTGTCTTTGCTGATGAAACGATCTATTTTATCATAAAAATATAATACATTTAAAACTTATTATAATATTATTAATTTAAAATTGAACTATTATAAGCTTTTTAAACTTTCCAAAAATGAAAGTATTTTTTCAAATATCAGATAAAAAAAGTTTTATTGTTATCAGTGAAGAAACTGATCAAAATTATGTAGTTTTCATTTAGCAGCTGATAAACGAATTATTTAGGCATTCGGTAAAACAGTATACTACGATTATAAATTTGTTTTCTTAAATGAAATGAATAACAATAATTTTTATATTTTTATATGTATCAAAACTCGAAATAAATTGTTATGAATGAAATCGATGAAATTGAATCTTAAATATAATTTCATCTAAATAGCAAGGTATCATCTGACATACATGTTTAAAATAATTTCCTTTTATGGGTATTTGAATCTAAATTTTGAAAAAGAAAAAACCATTTTTTTTCTCTCTAGCACTTGTCTTAGAGACATGTTTCTCTTTAAATTATAGAATCGGACACTTCTGTAGCCGATTGCAACAAAAAGTATGCGATGTTCCACAGTTACAATCAAGATCAGTTACAGAGCAAGAATAGTTCCAGTTCATTAACAAGTTTACCTGAAATATCCAAAATGAGATTGTCAAAAAATCAGGCCATGTCTAAAATCTCTTTACAGGAATTATCTAAGGTTTCGTCACAATCTATTGTACAGAACACTGAAAAGAATTTCAAAGTATGTATTGTTTATAAAAAATAAAAATACAAATATAAATATATTAATAGTTATATAATATAATAACTTATTATATAAATATTTTCAATATTTTATTTCGAATAAACTTTATTTTGATTAATACATTATTTAACTGAATATTGACAGCAATTGTAACTAACTTGAAACTTTTAAAATTGAAACTATACACATTTATCTATTAAGAAAAAACAAAAACAAAATAAAGTTATTTTTGTCTAATATTCTTAACGTGTTAAAACTATGTTATAATTATAAAATCATATGCTAAAACAAACAATAATTGTAATCCAAATATACATATTTCAAATTTTTAATATTTTTAAGCATATCATATAATCTTGAATTAATAAAATTAAAATACTCCATTATTAAATATTTATAAATATTTTGTGTAAGTTAATTTATTAAATTTGGTATTGTTATAAATACATAAATATGATTATTTAATTTTCTTTTTTCTTTACAGTAGTATATATTCAATGTACATCTATATTTTTGTATCATTTATTTTATAATAAATTTATATAATTATTTTATTTGCATTAATTAAAACATTTACAGATTTGTTCACGTTCTAATAATTCAACTTTAGAATATAGTCCTACATCGAGGGCTAATTCGAATGAAAACTTAGATGACGATTTAGGAAATATATTAGATATTCCTATTATCATTGCCAAAGATGATGAGAATTTAAACAATTTTGATAAGTTGCCAGTACTCCCACAGACAGGAATCACCTTGAATTCTGATGGAAAAAGTCTTCCAATCAATACTGTAGGAAATAAAGTTGTATTCATAAACAATAGAAATATTACAAGCTCAACCGAGTTTCAACAATCACAACCCTTAAATCAAATTGTTCCAACACGTACAAAGAGTTCAGTTACATTAAATCGTGGCATATTAACAGCTTCAGTTCAGCCAACAATCAAATATACTAAGATTATTTTAACGAAAAGAAATGATCAAGAGGACAAAAATAGTTCAGTTATTTTAGCAAAGACTAATAAACAAAGTAATAAACTTTTAGTTATAGATTCCAACAATGATATAAAATATACCCAGGGAAATACAAGAATTACAGACAATTATTTAAATGAATCTAAAAAGTCAATAAAGATAGAAAATTTGAATATAACAGATCACCAGCATGATACAAATATTTTTAATGTAAAACCGTTCATTGAACTGAAAGTAGAAAATATTAAAAACTCTTAGTTCCTTGTAAATATTCATCTACTAATTTTAGTGAGATTAGCTTAATTAGAATAGTAATTATCTTTATTCAAGATTATTTTATCAATAATTAACCATGTAATTATTACAAAAGATATGAATTATCAAATTTTTAATTTCCTACAATTTAATATGCAAAGAATTAAAGGAAATTTACTTAGGTATATATTTATTGATATTTAAACGAATGTGTTCATTTTAATTAATTTATAATATATAATTGAAATACAAAATACAATCAAACTCAGATGCAGTATATAAAAAAAGCGTATTCAACGTTTTTCTCTAAAATATTAAGCATTCTTTATAATTTACTTTCAAGTGACAAATTATATAATAAATAGGTATAATAAAATAACGTTTTAAGTATTTAATTATTTAAATTCTGTATAAATTAAAAATTTATATTTACTGTTTAAGTTTTGTATTAACAATAGATTATAAATACTTTAAACAAATGAATGCTGATCCTAAAATATTAGTTATATTATGCTGTAAAATTGTAAATAAAAATATAGCTGACATTTTTTAAAATTCATTATAAAATAGTTTGTAAGTTTTTGTAAAGGAGTGACTTATTGTCACTTATTCAAAGCATAAGCCTTAAAATGTATGTTGAGTGTACAGTTTTTTACTGAGAAAATATAAAAATTTTTTTAATATTAAGCTCTATTTTTTTTTTTTTTTGAATTCTTTAATTTTATGATAAATAAATCAAGATTATTCTTATGAATTTGTCTCTTTTATTTTATTATAATGAAACCTGAATATACAGAAATTAAATTGAAAAAGAAACTTATTCATTGTAAAATATAAAATATGAACAAAAACATTATTACTTTTTATGAATAATTTTAATTTTATTGATTTATATGTGTAAATATACATTTTAATAATTAGATGTTTAAAATATGTACATATAGAAAATTTTTGTGTATAAACTTAGTTTATATATTTAATTAATCGATAAAATAATCACTCATGATAAATATAAATTTTAATCATTTAACAAAGTTTCTCCATCTATTGAAGTGAACATAATGAATATTTTTTTGCTTAGCTCTGGACCAATTTTCCTTACTGAAGTAAGTGGCCCTGCTGCTCTTCTAATCTATTGAGAAATTAAATTTATAATTAAATTTTTAACCAAATAAAATATTAATACAGTTACAAAGTTTAAAGTATGAAACTCCAGTATTTTTATTTTATTTAATAATTTAATTTTGATATTTTTATTTGATTAATTTTTAATTTTAAATATTTTATATATGTTTATTTATAATTGTTAGAATTCAACAAACATGTACAGTGATTAAAATGTCAAATTTTTACTTACAGGAATATCTTTTAACAATGCTTCTCCTTCGGCTTGACTACAGTTTTTATAAGTCTAAATATTTTTTCTTTATTGATTAAACATGTAAGCATATTTTATAATTAAAATAAAAATCCAAATAGAAAAACTTACTTCAATTAAGTGTAATGGACTTTTATAGATTGATGAAATAGCCTCAGATGTCTCTAAACTCATTAATGTGAATTGACATAATTGTTGTTGCCATAATCGTTTTAATCCATTTCCATCTTTGTCCACTTTAACTGTGTCTCTATTATCACAATTAATATAGCAATCAATTTTAGATAACTCTGATCGTTTTTCTATTTTTGAAGGCAAACGAGTTAATGATTTTGTGTATTGATGAATCCATAAAATCATTTCATCTTGATTTTCTATTAATCTAGAATTGATATTATGTATTAATTGAATTTCAACTAAGCATTTTTCAAACTTTTTTCTTGATATTATTGGATAATTGGAAAAATCTTTATCTCCTTTTAGTTTCATTTTTTTCTGTTTCTCAATACCTAAAAATATTAACATTACTAATAATACTTTAATACAATATTTGGTATATTTAATAATATAAATTAAGTTACTTAAGTTTCTTGAAAATGTTTCTTGTACAGCTCGATCTTTTATACTTTTCAAATATTTAAAATAACTGCCTATTTTATAAATAATTAATGATAACTTTCTATCAGGCACTAATAATTTAATATTGGAAATTACAGATATAAATGTATTGTCAAATATGTGATCAATAATTTCTTTACAATTCCAAATGATTATAATATGTTTTTCATTTACATTTTCAATATTTGAGCACAAGTTATTTTCTTTGTTTATATAATGATTCTCAATATATCTGGAAAAGGTAATAGATTTAGGTATCAATTGTGATTGTACATTATATTTAATACAATTTTCTTCAGCATATGTCAAAAAATGATCAAAATAATCATGATTCTTAATTTCTTCATCAAATATAATTTCAATTAATTTAAGTTTATGGTCAGCATTGTTATTTAAGCAATTTTTTTTATTCAATTTTTTTAATAGTTTTTGTTTTGTTATCTCTTCTTGTTTTTCTAGTTTTGTTTGTTGCTTATCCTTTCCTTTTTCTAATATTTTATTTACATTATTTTTACCTTAAAAATAATATTAAAATTGTAATTAAATTTTTACAATAATCATATCTCAATTTTATTTAAGATATTTACAAAGTATTACATACTTTTACTTTTCATATTCTTATAATTTTGTTTTAATATTTCATCATCAAAAGATAATTCAGTATGACATTGATAAATTTTATTTTGTGATTCATAATCAGAATCACTTTCAGATTTCTTTTTTGAATTATATCCTAAATCATTTTCACATTCAAAATTTACTTTATGTAAATCAAATTCACTCAATTCTTTTTCAATATTATTTTCTTTCATTAAATTATTTGTGTATTGTATACTGCTGATACATTCTGTTTCATTCATATTTATAGATGCCTCAGAATCTTTTATATTTGTTAAATAATGGACATTACCTTTTGATTGTATTTTTTGGGTTTCATTAGATTTGTAAGAACAATGGCTAAGGAAAATTATTTCATCATCATCCATTTTAATACACTGAATTTACTGCACACAATAAAGGACACATATGTCCAAATGTAGTTTATCATTTTATTTATGTAGAACTAATCAGATTAAAAAAAATATATAAAAATCATGTAAAGTTAGAGCTCACAAGCTGTTAAATTATATTTATTTAATGTTCAGATGTTTAAAAAATTTTTAATTAAGAATTTCTCGAGTTTAAATAAACAAAGTGAATTATAATACTATTGTTCTTATATATTTACTTTAACAAAATATATAAATATGAAGATTATTGATTACTTAAATGATAAACATTTATAGTTACAAATTACATCTAAAGCATTAATTAAAATTTTATTTGAAAATTCTCTATCAACCTTTAAATAAATATTATAATAAAATAACCTAACTTTCATAATTAAACGAATAAAATTTCAATTATATTAATATAATTGTAAATATGTTTACAATATAATCAATACAAAGTATTAACAATCAATTAATAATAGTAATAATATAGTAATTCTTTTACACGTTTTTTGATAAGACTAATATCAAACAAAGTTTTGGCGGACTTTTTACCGTACTTCATTTCTTGGTCAAAACGGGTACTGCTTTATCAACAGAACATAGCAAAATGTTGCAAATGCTTTCTCATAAACATGAATACCAAATTGTGTATAGAATACACTGGGGTGCGCGCGGTCGAATCCCCGCCACCTACGGTCGGATAACCAAGCTGCAGTCAAATCAGACGTCTCATGAACACTCATACTAATATCAAACAGTTCTAAATTTTTAGCAGGCAGGGAACTAGATAGCAACGGTTTGGTTCCATGTCCGTTCTACAGATTTATTAGTAGCAAAGTGAAGTGAAGTTTTAGTAGTGAGTCTAGTGAATGCGCATTATTATCTCTCTTAATCAACTTTTTTAAATTTATATTGGCTTCATCTAAAATTGCTAGTTCATCTGGTATTGAGTGAAGGACGAGCATACAATAAAAATATTTTTGCTTTGGTAGTTGCTGTGAAGTGTTTATAAAAATATTCAGGAAATTTAGCCAGACAACAGTTTTTTCGGAAAGTAATGGCGAAGAAAACGTATGATCTTCTATTCAAACTTCTGTTGATCGGCGATAGTGGTGTCGGCAAGACTTGTATATTATTCCGCTTTTCGGACGACGCGTTCTCCACGACATTTATTTCTACCATAGGTAAGAGAAAGAAGAAGAGAAAAAACAGGTAGACAAAGGAAGATGACCAACAAATAGAAATTTTGACGTAGTGCAGTTAGTTGGGTAAAAGTACACATGCACACATGCATACTCTATGCTTGTGTATATTTTTGGGTGTATACTGGCTACGGGGCTCCAAATTGGTAGTTACATTTATTTTTAACTATGTATTACTCGTGTACGTATTCGCACCGGTTCATATATTTTTTTATTGTTATTTCATTAATCGTTCTACAGTTTTTAAACTATTTTTCATGCAAATAAACAACGATTTATATAGATATCATATAGTCGAGACAAATGATCCCATTATGTTTAATAAATCCCTAATACTTTTCTTACTTCAAATAACCTTCATGGTTTTCCAGGTAACACTTTTTATATATTAAAGTAAAAACAATATTTTTTATTTATTTTTAGATCTATTTCTTGATTTGCATATATAAAATGATAGTATGTTTTTGTTATTTATTGTAAAGCGAATTCGTTTCTTTTATATTTATTAGTATTATAAATATTTCAGTATTTACAAACATAAAGTTAAGTTTTATTTGAATAATTATTTTCACTTTAAAAAATGCTTGTTATTTAAATTCTTCTTTCTTTACTTTTACCTCTTAACATTGATATTATCAAAATTGATACATTCAGATGTAGATTTAGTTTTATTTTTTAAATAAAAATATATTTATTATTAAAGAATTATATAGATCTATTATATTATTTAAATATTTAAATAAAGTAAATAAATTAAAATTTTTGTAAATTATATTTGTTTGATTAAAAAAAACATTTGATACAATATTATATTATGTTAGTATACATAATATAAGGAAAAATCATAGCTTTGAAATAAAGAATTATAAAAAATAAATAAAAATAAATTAACACTATAGATTAAAACGATTTAAGATACAAGTTTTTTTTTTATAAGATATTATTGATAGGTATTATAGAATATGACAATCAATTATCTTGAATTATCATGAATTTATTACTTAATTTTAGGAATTGATTTTAAAATTAAAACTGTGGAATTGAGAGGAAAAAAAATTAAACTTCAAATATGGTAAGATTGATTATATTATAAATTTTGTTACTCTAAGTATTATTAATTTACTTGTATGTATGTATTATTTACATTTAGGGATACAGCAGGACAAGAGAGATTTCATACTATTACAACGTCTTATTACAGAGGTGCAATGGGCATAATGCTAGTGTATGATATAACAAACGAAAAGACATTTGAAAATATAGTGAATTGGTTAAGAAATATTGATGAGGTATATGAAGATCTTACATTTATATGGTTATTAATTTCAGTAGATGAGAAAATCGAATAATTTTTTATTAATGTTTTAGCATGCAAATGAAAATGTGGAGAAAATGATTTTAGGCAATAAAAGTGATATGGAAGACAGACGTGAAGTCAAAACTGAAAAAGGTGCAGCAGTAAGTATATGCAAATTTTGAGATCCATAGTACATACAAAAAATTTAAAAATAATTTTATTATTGTTCAAAATATAAACTGAAACTATGTTTATATTTATTAAAATATTTGATTATAATATATTATTGAATAAAAAATTCGAATTATATGACCATCATTATATTTTACATAATATAGCTAAATAATTTAATTTTTATTATTTATTCAATTATAAGAAATTAATTTATCTATTCAACAATATTGCTTTATTCATTTGAATTATTAATAGTTATGATTCATAATGTTAACTTTATTAATAAAAATTAATAACATGTTTATAGATTAGAATAATTATTTATTACATATGTACATATAATTTTATAAATTACAATATACCACGATCAAGCATATAAATAATTATATATGTATATTCTCTTATAATTTATTTTCAAAAAATCAACAAATGATAAAATAAATATACTTTTATTACTTTTTCAATTAAATATATCAAATAAAGAAGTTTTTTTTTGTATTTATTTCTTATAATTATTTACTTAGTGAAGCTAAATTAACTATTTACATATATATATATAACTATTTATTAATACTTTTAGTATATCTATTACCCACGCTTTATAAACACCCCTATTTTTATCAATAGATAGCGCGAGAACACGGGATTAGATTCATGGAGACATCGGCAAAGTCCAACATTAATATTGACCTTGCCTTTCGGGAACTAGCAGAGGCTATTCTTGATAAGACCCATGGCAAGGAACCGCAAGATGCACTAGATCGCGTGACAGTTGACCGAAGAGTCGAGCGAACTTCGAGCCGGTGTTGTTGAATCATCGAATATAAATTATCCTTTCATTTGTTAAAAATACGTTAATTTCACACGTATAGATTTCATTTTTAATTCTGTATTTTTTTGTTTTAATTTTTTTCTCTTACAATCGTGATCTGACAAGTTGTTTTAAATAAATAGAAAAATTTTTTTTAGAACTTAAATAAGATAAGTGGTTGTAAAATGACGTGGAATTATTTTTCATTGAGTGTATTTGTAGAAAATTCTAGAAAAGTAATTATTTTAGCCTTGATTGATCCATATATTATATTTATGTATATTAATATTTTTTATTCAATTATTTTTACGTTTGTTTATCATTTTTAAGTTTTGTTCTTGAACTGAGCATATTTACTCTTTATTATAGAAAATAAATTCATTTTTAAGGTTTAAAAAAATTATTTTAAATTTATGTTAAGAATTTTACAGTAGAATAAAACATTTTTTTTTATAAAAGATACAATACCATTAATTTTATTTTATTATTCAAATTAAAAAGTGAATACGATTTTCTGGAGGTTAAATTATAATCTTATGTGATTGTTAGCTTTAATAAATATGTAATTATATGATGTAATTGCTTATTGTACATTATTATAACTCATCTTTTAAGCAAATGCAAATTAATTAGTTAAAATATATTTATATATACTTTTATATAATTGTCATATCAGATAATGTTAGTCTCTTGTTTTGTCTTGTAAAATTTTAAAGAATAACATTTGATTGCATGTGATTGTATATCAATTATATAATTATGTTTAACAAATCTTAAATGACAATTGTCATATAAAAAATTCGATTAAATTGTAATTTCCTTCATGAATTTTTAAAAATTAAATGATTTATCTTTTAAATAAAATCTTCGTTACATATTTTCTTTTATGACTACACTGTGAAATAATTATTGGAAGCAATAAACATAATGAAAATATTTACTTAAATAGATTTAAAATACATATTTTTTTAAAACCATATTAACAAATTTTATACTATCATATTATTTTTATAACGTTTTTTAAATAAAATTTTTAATTTGTATAATAATTTGAAATAATCTACAAAATTAATTTATATAAAGGATCGAAGAGGCAAAATGATCTGAATTATTATACGAACGTTATTTAAACGATATGTATTAGTTATATACAAAGAAAGTATAATCAGGTGCATCAAGAATAATTTTATTAATAATTGATTAAAAATTTCTTTTATTTATTAAGGACCTTTCTATTATTGATAATTAACAGTGATATTTTTCATTTACACATCAATTTCTACGTCAAACCTTCCGCCAATTCAACATGTTAATGTGTAAATGTGTAATTTATTTATTAACTTATTTATTTGTAAAATGTTCATATATTTTTACACAGTACAATTTTTAATTAAAACAATAAAAATCTTTGATGGTGACAACGCAATCGTATGTAAAGGTGAAGCAAACTTCATAATATTAACAGTCATTGCTATTTTGTATTAACACTTGCCGATTTATACTGCAACTGTTAAAGTACCGTTCTTCAAAATTTGAAGATCATAATGATGATCATAATGAAATAATGATGATCTAATATTTTTTTAAAAATTGAGCTTCCGCTCACGCCTGTTTTTCAATGTGTATAATAAAGTAAAATTTTGAGAAATTTATAATTTTATTTATTATTAACAAATTAAATGTTATGTATATAAATTTTGTTATTTTTATTTAAATATATTTTTTTCAATTTACATTTAAAGTTTATGTAAACTTCCATTACATTCATCATGTTAATCAATCTATATATTATTTATTTTTATAAGTTATAAGTTGATCGGTATATGTGAACATAAATATACTTGTAATAGAAAGGTAAAAAATAGTTTTAAAAGTAATATGCATATATGCATATAGTCATTGGATGTAAATAAAACTTTTGAAATTATGATTTATTCAAATTTATTAAAAATACAAATGATGCAATATGTAGTATCAAAGATAAAACAATTTTTTTATAATATACAGATGATTTTGAAAAACTAATAATGATAATTTTGTATCAAAAGTTAAAAAGTTATCAACTTTTTCACAACTAAAATTAAATGTATTTATTATTATAATGTTATTACATCATCATTTTATTACATCACTTAATAGAATATTATATTATAATATAATTTTACAGTTTAACTAAACTTTTAAATAATATCTGAATTGAATGTTGATATATTAAATGCAGAAAAAAAAGAAATTGATGATCATGAAAATGTAAATGAATTTAATAAAATTAAAATATGAATAAAAGTTTCTTTTAATATCTAAAGTGCATGCACTATTAAATGATCAATTTTAAATATTTCAATTTTGTAACAATGTACTATTGTATACTGGTATCATTTTATTATAATAAAATAATAAAAATTTTTATTAAATAATAACTTTCTTTATTCTTAATATTTAGATTTTATAAAAAAAAAACTATAAGTTTTATTTAAATGGATGATTTTGTTTTGGGAGAGTTTTTGTAAAGTTTTTAATCTAACAATACTTTCGTTTTAAAATGACTTAATAGAGTTTTAATATTAATTTAAAAATGAAAATGTAAGCTTAAATCAGAAATTAAATATATTTTGTGAAGCTGTACAGATGTAATATTTTACATTTTTTCATTTTTTACTATATAACATATTTCATACATATGATCATGTAAATATATATTTTCGATCTTAATACAATACTATTATCAAATAATAATAACTAAATTAATTATTTCATGAGCTAATATATAATAGTTTTAATTGCATTATAAATTATTTATTATCTAACATATATATGTGTAGTTTTTTACATTGAATATTTCGTATAACAAAAACATTGTTATAATTCACGAGTTTAATTAAAATACATGACAAAATTTCAAATTGTTATGAAATATAAAACTTATACCTAAATATAAAAGATAATAGGTGCTCTATATAATGTCTAATTCTACTTTTATCAGTAACTATAATTTCCTAAGAATTGGTAAATCAAATATATAAAAGCAGAAATAATTAATTTTACAATGAAAAATAAATTAGTGATTAAAATAGCAGGTTCAAAATATTTTCAAATAGTTACAAACGTTCATTTATAATGCAAGTATAGAATCAATTATAAATGAAATGACTAAGAAAATTTAATAATACATATAGGAACACTAACTTTTACGAATTATACTAATGGTGTTAGTTACATATCCGCAAGTATGCATGCGTGCGCGCGCGCATATAACACCGTATTGAATATTATACAACCGTTTAGATTTTAATATAAAGCATTAATGCTCAAGTTAAGTCTATTTTTGCTATAACAAATCAAAATAATTAATTATAGTTTACTTTTTCATAAATTTGTTTTAGTTTTTACGTAAATATTTCTCTATTTTATTACAAAATTATTTATAGATTATATTAGTTCAATTTTAAATCATGTAATTTACATTCATAATATTTGGATGTTTCTTTTATTTATATTTATTAATTAATCCAATATTTAATATGTCTAACTAAATTAATAATAATTTGTTTTATATTTGTATAGACTGCTGTATAAAAATTCTATTACTATTTGTATTTGAATGTATTATTTTTAAATCAATTTACAACAGATTGATTAATATTTAATTAATATTTATTTTTCTTTGAATAGTCCACTTTATAAAAAATTGATAAATATCAGATTATTTTGTATTTTTACTATCATAGACATTAATTAATTAAAATTCCTAATAAAAATTTAAATGTTAAATTTGTTTATAAAATAAATTCTACAGTTAAATATAAAAATATAGTTTTGCATTTTCTAAATATATTTTTTATAATCTTGACAGAAACAAGTTCAAAATATCAGGAAATCTAACATTTTTAAAAAGGTCATTTTTTATAAGGTAATAAAAAGTCGATTAAAAATAACAAAATAAATAATTAAATAAAAAAATTAAAAACAAATGTTTTAGTTCATTAGAAATTATTATTAATAATAATTAAGAATTAATGATAATAAATTACTTTTGAATAACAAACGAGAATGTTTCAAAATTAGGGTTTATATATTATCCTAATAGTAAAAGTAACGAAAATTTGCAAGAAATTTGGTACAAGATTGAAGATTTATCGTATCAATTTATTTCTTTTATCCTCTTCAATCACGATTTTTTCTTCGTAATATTTAATGTGTATAAATTTTTAATCACGGGAGGAAGCACCGATGAGATTCAAAATATAGATGAAAATGTTGACTATATCTAAATATATATTGAGTGTAGCAAAGACATACTCTTCGGGAGATAACGAGTACTTGTGTTTGTTTCCTATCATAAGTTGCGTATCATATACTAAATAAAATGAAAACAAAAGAGCACCTATAGAACTATAGACTATGGTCATTATTTGCCCATGAAAAAAGATTGTCAAAAAACCAAAAATCATGAATATTATAGCAGCAATAAACAAATACGGTCCAAAGCTAGTAAAATCGAATTTTGTTTGAAATGCAAATAAGGTAAGAGCAAAACAAATTACAATAGTAATTCCAACTGCCATTAAAACCTGAAATCAGAAAATAATTTGAAGATTTTAAATTTATATTTATTATATCTTAATATAAATAAAAATATATAATATATATTAATATTATATTATTCTATTATTTTATAAAATAATATTTGATTAAATTATTTAAATATATACTATATTCTTATTGGTATTTAAACAGAGGAAATCTGGTGTGAACCATGATCAATATGATTTAAATTATCACGTTTAATATAAATATTTCGGTATTGAAATTTTGTGTTATAAATGATGTTAATGTGGAAGAATACAGGAAATTTGAAAGCTACTTTTATACAGTTCACCTAACTTATATTATAATTCTTCTATCGTTTATAACAATTATTATATTAGAAATTAAAAACTCACTTGTAGTAAATAATTAAATATATTATTATAATTTGAAAATTCCATAGTTCATTGAATTGTATGATTGGGTGAAATGAAACGAGTTATAATCCTTTGTGAGTAAGTGAATTAAAACGATGTAATTTATAGTTTTATTGCTGTTTGCAACTGACTAATCATTAACAGTATAAAAAATTAGGTTAAGGATTCAACAGTAATCTGTGCTATATAATAAATAATGCAACAAGATGCATTGTAAGAAGTGTAGGCAATAAGGCATGATATGCAAGGTGGGAAATTGGTAAGAAGCAACGTAGCGTGTTGAAAGGGATAAAAATGAGATTATATTTATAAGGTCTAAGTTTTATTATAAAAAGAAAAACGGTGCAAACTCAATATAGATAACTTAGAGAAAGATAAGACGTTGAACTTGAGCAAAATATTTTTAAGTTATCCACTGTTGCAAAAGAATAGAAGATACTGCAGAAGAAAATTTCCTCTGCAAAGAAAGAATTTAAAGTGTAAAGTAACTAAAGAAAATAGTCAGCAAGAGTACTGATAGTAGTAGTAACGATGAATTTTGCAGAGGATCAGAGGTTTCATTAAAATTTAATTTTTGTAAAATATATTTATTCAAAACTTTCGAAAAAGGAAATAAATAATAAATTCTCTGAAAAATTGTGATATCGATCCACGGTATGATCAATGGCAAATCTTATCAAATGAAATGAAATTTTTGAAATCTACTTTGCTATAAAGTTAAAAGAATTATCAAATAATTTATTAGGTGTATTGTATCGTTTAATTAATTTTCCTTTTATCGTTCACAACCATTCTTATATCTTAAAATAAAATTTAATTGATTCTATATACAAAAAAATTGTTTAAACAAGATATTTGTTTATGTGAAAAGATATATGAAACATTTTTTACTTACATGCTGCTCTTTGTGCATGCTGGCAACAAATGCTAAAAGGGTTCCCTCAGCAAAGGTAAAGATGAAAAGGAAAATATAGTTCGTTGGTACTTTGCGGCGTACATTTGTACAGCATGCCATACAGATAATCATTACAAATGTCACAATTAAACAAACATACATAAGTGATGGATTTTTATTGGCAAACAATTTTGCTTTTTCATTAAATGAAAAAAGAGCAATTATTGCAAAAGTAATTAACAATTGCAGCATCAGAAGAGAATAGACTTTTCTGGAAAAATATATATTAATTAAATTAATATTTCTTACGAATATTTAAAATAATTAGCATTAAAGATTGACAATGATACACGAAACGATGAGATAGTTTTGCTAACCTAATAAATACTTGTCGTATTACTGCATCATCAAATTGAAATCTTTTAATTTCATCCTGCATAGGATCTTCGGTATAACTTGAACCATATGTGCCTGGTTGTGATGGTACATGGCCATATGGAAGAGAAGCAGGAGGTGCCACAAATCCTGCAAATTATAACATATTAAATAAAATATAAATTACATAATTATATATATAAATAATACCGTTTCATTAATAATTATCTATAACAATAATTTCTTTAATAAATAATATTTTTATCTATTTTATACTATTAATATATCCAGAATAATGTACTGTACATGGACTTGTTAAAAAATGTACCTCCAAAAACGTTAATTTAAATTAAATGAAATGAAATGAAATTAATTTATAACAAAAGAATCTTTAATATGGGTTTGTTTAAAAATAATAAACAGTTACAAAATTACTACATATACAGTTAAAATACCTGGTGGTGCAGGATTTCCTGGATAACCAGGATAGGTTCCTTGATGTGGCGGATTTCCTGGATAACCAGGATAACCTTGATGTGGTGGATTTCCTGGATAACCTCCTTGAGGTGGGGGATTTCCTGGATAACCTGGATAGCCTGTCTGTGGTGGTGGATTCCCTGGATATCCTGTAAATGAAAAAATTTTATATAAATTGTTCAAACACTATAGTAACAAAATATGTAATTGTTTATCAAATATTCTAATTAATATTTCAGAGAAAAGTAATCTGTGCATACAGTATAACAATATATAGAAATCACATTAAGTATTAAATCTGACTATCTTTTTGATTGCATGGATAACAAAGAAATATTTAAGTTGAAAACCTTCTGGACCAGGGTAGTAACCGCCACCAGGAATGTTCTGCCAGGTTGACATCTTTTTCAGCTGAAAAAAAAACTTACAATTAGCATAGAAGTATAAGCACGCTCATTTGTATTTAAAAATAATACAGTAAAATAATTTTTAAATACAAATTTGTCGTATTCAAATAAATGGGACAAAAATAACAAAATTGAATAGATAATTAAAACACGACTTTTCAGCAATTGAAATTTCGTAAATAAATATGTACTTTAGAAATAAATTTATCGAAAATATGTCCGTTTCTATCTTAATATATAACTTTATTTACATACAATAGATGTTAAATATAATATAAAATAAATAATTAAAATTAATATTTCTTCTAAATTATATATTTTAATAATGTACAACAACATACACATAAAGTGAATGTATTTGTTTTATACGTAATCTTATTTATAATTTTATATAAATATAAATAATTAATTATTTGCCATGCTTTAATAAAAAAAATGAAAAAATAAAATTTGTATATTTGCTATTTTTTGATATTAAAATAAAAATGTTAATATTTATTAGAATTTAATTAAAATGTTAACAATTTGTAAATGTATTATATTATAATGTACGATATTATAAACGAATATATATGTATATGTATATATATTCTTTCTTAAGAAATGTAATGGCAAAATTTAATATATAGTTTAAATTAATATAATTAACAGTAACAAATCATGCTGAGACCTGAAATTAAATTTAGCAAAAAGTAATATTTTCGTTAGATGATTTAATGTTTGTGCAATGGTTGAACGTTCTAGTATTGTTACGAATATAACGCATGATCAAATTTATTAATTTAATAACATTAAATGAAATGCCGTAATTAGGAATACTCGTTTGCAGATAACTTGTTTATGAATATTTTATGTTTAAATTATTAAAATTTTATATATTTGAAAATAAGATAATAATAAAAATTATGAAAAAATAATTTCCAATCAATTTTTAATGTACGTATATTTAAAATTGAACGAACATACTGAGAAAATGTTCGGTCACCGAGTTATAAAATTCCATATGAAGATCTACCTCCTCTGCGATGATTATAGTTAGTTGTAGGGAGTTCTTATGGTTTAAGGCTCCATAAAAATCTGGCCACTGTTGGCAATAATGATCGATCAATCACCAATGCTCTAAATAACAAGTCCATGACCTTTTCGAATATAATGTGACAATAAAACTAATTATTGTATTAATTCAACTCATATTACACAGTCCGCAAATTTCATGAAATGTGTAGTAGTATGTGTGCGCGTACGTACGTATATTATATATTTGGTGTGCACCCACTCATTCAATGAATATATAATTTTTATAATTAAAATTAGCACATAAATTTAAAATTCAATTACCTACAAGCAAACAGAATAATTATAACTAAGAAATATTTAAAACGCAATTTATAAAATATATAAAGGCTATCTTTAAAAATACAGTTAAAAGGTTTATACAAATATAAACATAGTAATGATTATGATACTTGCATTTTTAAATTAAAAAATGTTATTATTGGAAAATTATAAAATTTAATTATTCTTTCAGTAACTAACTTAGTTGTTTAATTATTTTACAAATTTTACTGTACAATTGCTTAATTGAATAAATATATTATTGCTATATAGTTTTTAAACTAATATTTACATTTTTCAGTATTTATTTGTATAGGAAATAAGTAAAAATAAATAGATTTATAAATATTTAACAGAATTATTATAATTTAAAAAAGTTTTAGGTTTTTACATATGAAAATATTTAAATACTATAGAAGAAACCAAAAAATAATAGCCATTATATAAGCAATTGTAACTTTACGAAATAAAAAAAAAATCTGACCGAGTATTTATAATTTTCTTTAATGAAGCTATTATAAATATAATAGTAATCAATTTTATAAATTTTATATTTAATTAAATTATTATAGGGTAAAATACTTGGAGCTTCATTATTGTTAAGAATAAAACAATTTCAAGATTATTAAAGTTAATAATTATTTTATTTAATATAAATTGCAATATTTTAAAAATGAGTTAATTCAATAAATTTTAACTTTTATAACTGAATTTTTATTTGAATGAACGTATTATTTACTAATAAATAGCAGAGTTCATTTTTCTATTCTTATAATATGAATTAAATACAAATTTTGATTTTTCATCAACAATCAATTAAAGATAATAGATTTATTATAAATTTAATGTTTTTATATTTATTAATTTATTAACACATTTATATAAATAAAATAAGCCAAGTAAATATATTTTGACATTATTATTTGATAGTTAAAGGCTTTATTCGTTTAATTCATTTTTCGTGTTGATCATTTCTGTATGTCTACAAGATAGCAAATCATGCATAAGAGGAATTATAATGTGCTTCTGTATATATTTTAATAATAATTGTTTTGATTGTATATAATTTAAAGCCCAACTATGTACATTACAATAGAGCAATACATTATGAACTGGCAAAAGATTTAATTTATAAATAAGTTTTATAAAAATTAGCTTCTTTGTGGTCAATATAGAAAAACTTTTCGATACTTATTTACAAATGAAAAATAATATTTTTATACTATTTTAAGTTAATTCACATGGTAAAAATGTCTTATTTAAATACTGTAAATATTACTTAGCCATTAGCTGATAATCAAACGAGCTGAAAATTTTTTTACTATACTCAAAAGATGGCGATATGAGTATTTTTAATTATAGATTAAGGACAATTGCTTTAGATTTCAGCCTAAGATATAACTGAATCATTAGTTTACTTGTATGGTGCTTATATATAATTTATTATTTGTATTCAAGTTTAATTTATTATTTATTATCAATAAAATTTAATTAAAAATACACGATAAAAATTAGAATTTTATTAATCAATTTTGTTTTTAAATATTAGAAATAATTTTTAAAATATCTAAAATAATTATAAACAATGAAAAAGGTCGTATAATATCTAACTAACTTTTGCTAAAGATTTATTTTAAACTATTAACATAAAGTTTTCGAACATAAGATTATATTCTAACCATTTCACATTAAGTTAATAATAATACTTATTTAACAAACTTCAATGCACGCATGATCAGTATACATATGCGCGTTCCATATTTTTCTTGAATTGAATAAAATTGAATAAAATTTATCGAAGTAAATGAAAATGTATTACTCAAATCGGATAAATGAAATATTATATTCAAAGCATGTGAAATTTTGTGATTAGAAAATGGTATTCACTAATGTTATCGCAATGCATACTTAATATATATGCATATAGTAACTGTACTTAGAATTACATACACGAATAATTGGAAACAGCTATTACAGGAAATTATGATTTATGATTCGTTACACTAAGTACAATTACATATTTTAACAGAATAATGTAACAGGATTGGTATGAAATAGCAGAGAACGATGGTACGTCATCGTGTACTTTCTGGAAATAGTGACAATCAATATAAATATCCGTAAACATTAAGCCAAAGTACTCATGTGTACGTGAATACATGAGTATGAAATACATTTTGACATTAATCGACCACATTCACGAATTTATCAGATTTTACCTTGTACTGCAAATATAAGTTTGGGTATATATGACTCTTGCACACACGTCCTGTGATCGTAAATAGAAACAGAATACACGTAAACTTACAAAGAAAAATGCTATTTAGCGGCGTAAGATGTCTATTATTGAATGTTTGAGAATTGATGACTAACCGAATGGACGAAATATGAATAACTATCGCAGTTGGCTTAGAAATCCGATGTGAAGCGATTGTGCGCACAAAATTCTCATTGCGTTGTCCGTATCTCAATATATTGTAACCAATCAAAAGTGATATTTCAAGAAACCTCATTGGTGGTATGGAAAACAATCAGGCGCGCATAAACTATTGATTTCAATAATTTGAGATCTTTGTTTTATTGTAGTGTGAATGGCGTGATATCGAAGGTTACTTTTGAAGTTTAATTTTCATTTTACTAAAATTTAAGTGAAAATTATTATGCCAGTTATAATGAAAAACTAAACACATGCTTACAATTCAAGGGATATTCATTTTTAATTTTTAATAGTCATTAATTTTATGATTTTAAGTAAAATTTGCATAAATTGAAAAGTAACGTACTTTATCAATGACAAATAAGATGAGATAGGATTACAGTAAAGATTCTTTTTCATATAGTATTTAATTTATCATTTCAGTATTATTTTAATAATTACTATTCTAATTAAAATGTAACAGAAAAGTAAATGTAAATGTTATCAGGGGATTCTTTTTATTATGGTTAAATTTCTTAAAAATTGTTTTTTTTTAATTTGTAGAAAATAAAAATTCAATAATTTGTAGCTAATGAAATTAGTATAAATTATTTAATTGCAACTCATACCTCATACTTTTATAATACAGTATAGTATAACATATTTTAATTATTGGCAGTTCGAATTGGCTACCAATTGGTTATATTATAAATTTTACAAGAAATATTGAGAAAATAATTTACCTTAATAAGTAAATGCTACAGATAAACGACCGAATTAAAGTGATATATTGCGATTTAACTATGAGTTTTAGACGAAAAAAGAAAATTAATTGTTATTTATTACTGTATTTATTATTTATTGATGTACAATATTCAATTTCAATTATTTCTTTTTATTTACAAAACAATTTAATATATGATTTTAAAGTTGATAAGAATATAAACATTTATAACAAACATGAAATGTAAAACTATGGGTTACAAGAAAATCAAATTTTAGCACATATTATGACAACTATTAATTACAATGTAAAAATATGTTTTTAATTATGAATTTGATCTTATTGCGATTTATTACTATGATTTTTTTTCGAAAATCTATATATAGTATGTTGAATCTTTATAAAATTCCAAGCATGCATTCTCATTAATTAAATATATATATATATATATATATACATGTTGTGTCTGAATTCTTAGGCATAATTTAGATAAGTTCTACAGATGATAATAAACCTATACTGTTCAACCGTTCTCATATAACATGCATATTTTATCTTTTTAAGAAAGAAAACTGAAGAGAAAAGAGAGATAAGATTTTAAATATTGTCAATTGCAGGAATTTCATTAAATAAAAATTTCTTATATATTGTCAATATATTGTAAAAAATCTCAATAACATTTTCCGTAAATAAAAATATTTATATAATTTAATTTATAGCGAATTAACTAAATATATTACATGTAAAATACTACCAACATTTATGAAATTATTGAAAATTTATTATTACAAATCTATACTTTTTTGCACGTTTCATTTCAGTTGATCCAAACATAATTGAAGTATTGTGTGCAAATTTAAATATTTACAATTATAAAATTCTTATATTTTTTTAGAATTTTTATTTTACTTTAGTTTTGTAGGTATAAATATTATTTTTTAAAAATATTTATATAATTACTATGGTTTTTAATAAAATATTTTAGTACATTACATAAATATGTGAATATATTTATTTAATGTAGTTAGAACCTCTATGTTTGATTTTAGATTTTAACTTATAGTCTACAATTTAATTGACTTTTAATCATTGCAGGTAAATATGGAATGAAATAAATTACACTTTTCTATCTTGCTAATATTATATAAAAAATTTCTATAACACTATTTTTTATTCGCAATTATAAATACAAACACTTAAGATTTAAACTTTTCCAAGTTTAATATTTTTTTGTATATTTCCATAACATTCCTAAAATTTCAGATTAACTTCTACTTGAAAAGTTACAGCTTTATGTTTCTAGTCATATTTAAAAAACGATTTTTTCTTTCTTTTGATATTATTTATTCCTTGACGATTTGTCATACTTTCCTTTATTAACTATGTCGGAGAATCGTGATGTCTTTGGAATAGAAATTGATTTCGAGTGTTGAGCAGATCTATCTTTTTCATCCTAAAAGAAATGGAAATTAAAATTGAAAAACAGTTAATTGAATAAATAAAAATAGAAAAATGAAATGTAATCAAACTAATGTTCATTAACCTCAAACGTAGGTTTAGGAACAAGACCCAAACTATCTAACATTCCTGGCTTCGTTTCTTCGGTTGGAAATGCCGTACGCTTTTTACATTTCACTAAATGAGTAGCTGAAACATACGTTTTATTTTGATCTTATTAAATTATTATCTTAGAAAAATTAATCCAATATATATATTAATTATAAATTAGAAATAAAATTTGTTTTGAAAATTATTGCTGTAACTTATTTTATTATTCTATTTTATCTATTATATTTATTATATATTATAATAATAATACATTATTTATTATTAATTACCTAATTGATTTCCGTCAAACGTCGAGAATCCGCATGTGCACTGCATTTCATTATCCAAAGGTATATTAATAAGTGGAGAAGGTACTATAACACTTGTCATTGGTCTTTCGTTATGGATTTGTCGTTGGTGCTCCTTAAACGCACGCCAACAACAGGTAACATAACGACATCGTTGACACTTAAGTTCACCACTGAATAAATAATAATTTAAAAAATTGGAACCGTAAATACTTTACTCGTTCTTTTATAAAATAATACTTTAAATAAATTTGCCTTGTACAAAATATATGAAATATATATTAAACAATTTAGAAAATAAATATAAAATAATTCATATTTTAATAAAATATTTAAATTTATCAAATACGCACGGATAATGGTCTCGCATATCTAAATCTTCTTCACACTCTTGACAACTGCTACCTGAAGGAGCGTGTAGTTTGATAGGACCGCTTGACCACCTCTTCACTCTTTCGGTCGGTGTTATTTCGTGTGCGTAATCATCAAAAATGTAACGTTTTACCGTATTTCGTGATTTTGTCACGGTTATCGTATTTTCATTTGGAGTATATGGAATAACTCCTGAAAAATTAATATGTGGTGTTTTATTTTACAAATTTTGCAGAATTTCATGAAAGATCATAAGGAAATAAGAAACTGCTAAAGTAAAATATGAATTTAAACTTACTTGTTCCAATGGACTGACTATGAAGGTCTACATGAGCCTTGAGTGAGCTCATTTGATTAAACCAGAGGCAACATCGTAAACATTTGTTTAACTTTTCTTCTCTGCGTACAATATGTCGCTGCATATGCATTAAGTAAGCATGAATGCTGGATGAGTTTGTTTGCCCGGCATTTATAAACTGTATAACTTTAAGACAATATGGACACTGAAGGCTGTCGCTTTTTTCATGATTTTTGTAATAGTGGTCAATGACATCTTTGTGGCTAGATGTACGGTAGCCACAGCTTTCGCATTTGTATGGCATTTCTGAAGGATAGTGCATCAACGATAGATGATTAATCAGAAGACCACTTGTTCCTATAGTAAAAGACATTACGTGTAAACAAAAACAATAGGTTTAATATGTTAAATGGTTCTGAATTAAACATTTAAAAAATATAAGTTTTAAAAATTTACTTTATCTTTTAAAAATAGTTTCATAAATATTATATAACTTTTGTATAATTTTTGTATAAAAGAACATTGAACTAAAGGTAATTCAAAAAGTATGTACCAAATTTTTGTTCACAAATAGCACAAATCAACATATCACCATCGGAATTTCCAAAATTACTATGAGCTTCAGTTACATGCACATTCATTTGATGTTTTGAAGAAAAGGCGGTGCAGCAATAGCGACAAACAGGTGAATCAGATTGTCCAGGTACTAAAGGAGGAACGTGACTGACCATATGCTCCATAATTTCAGTATTAGAGTGCATTATTGTAGTACATATGAAACACTATTTATACAATAATTAATTGATTACGTTTTAAATTTTGTAATACAAATAAGAAGTTTTCCAAGTATACAATAATAAATTCCAGTATGGAAATTATAATAAAACAATTTTCTATTTTTACATAAGACAAAATTAAAAATAATAACCTTAAAATTAAAGACGATTTTATTTTCTTTGCTAGCAATATTCGGCTTTTCTGGTTGCATTGTAGCATAATAGAATTCCTGAAGTGGCACTTGATCAAGCTTACTCTCTCTTAGTATTTTGGGCTCAGGTGTTGCAGTCCTTTCCGTCGGTTCAGGACTCATGGTCGAATAAGGTCGTTTCCGACCTCGTTTAGGGCCTGGTCTTGAATGTGGTAAGTCCATCGCTTGGACATCGATGCCAGACTGAATGGCTGGTTCTTTAGGTATTGTCACCATTGGAGCGAGTGGTGGTGGGACAGTGTTAAGACCTGATATTGCAGTTGAAGAAGCATTACTGCTAAGGTATGACCAATTTGTAAATGGATTCCCAGCAATCTTTGATAACCGTTCCAAGAAATAATGTTCTGTACCCAGTAAAATTCAATACTTCAGACATTCATAATTTACAAAATATATAACATTAATGTCATAATCTATAACAATTTAAAATCAATAAAATAAATTAGCTCATTCAAATTTTTTTGCAGAACATACCGGAAATAACTTTAGTTTGTTCAGCAATATGAGTTACGATATTTTCAAATGCTCTTAAAGCAGTAGTTCCAAACATTTCCCTCCAAACTAATTCATCCAGAAATTGTTGTATCATTGGTCTACTTAACAAGCTTAAAGTATTCTGGAACATACGAGGAACAATTTTTCTCAAATATTCCATAATATGATAGTTGCTAGTTAAATTTCTAGGATTCTGATCGCTAAATGCGGATTGTGTAACGTTAACGAATCCCATTTCATATAATGTGCCTTTATCGACAGTAAAGTCTGTCAGGATTTTGGAATCTTTGTGTACCCACTCTGACAGTGGGTTCAATATGTTATTAAATCTTCTTTTATAAGATCTATCACCATCTTGAACAGGTTCACATGCTCGCAATCTTAATTCCAAGGTTTCTGGATCAAGAATACCTAAAACTTCTACTTTTACCTATAATTAAATAATTTATTACTATTGAACTTTAATGATATTAACAAATAATACGATCACATTTAATAATAATATACTTTAAAAAATCGTATAGATATATATTTACTTTAAATATCAAAATATATGTTTTAAACTTTAAAATACTTTAATATTCATGTAATAATTGATTTATGAATATAAAAAAATTACGTTTCACAAGTATTAATATAATAAGTTTAAATTTAATAAGCTAAAAACTATAAATATATTTTACTATATAAACTATAAAAACATTTTAATAGGCACATAAATTAAATGTTTTAACCAGTTATAAAAGTAGGAATTAAAAAAAATTTAGAATAAATTGAACATGAAAAATTTACTTATAAGAATTGATTAGATGAATATCATAGATACAAAGAATAATTTATGCTAAATTTTAGACTAAAATAATAAATGGCTATATTCTTAATTAGATGAATTTTTAATTAAAATTTAATTAACCTTTTACCTGTCGTAAATTGCCGTCTTGGGAAGTAGTGCCTAAACTAATAACTCCAACTTGTATCATTGAATTTTTGCCACCCATTTTCTTACATTTTTCCCAAACCGCAGCTGTACAAACACTTCTTAAAGTTGCATAAAAAGTCTTAACATAGTAGTTGGTTACTTTCACCCAAGAAATAACATTTTGTACGTTTGTTTGACAGGACCAGTGGTAAATAAGTTTAAGTAATACTGTAGGTGAATGCGGTGCGCCTTGGAATATTGAGCTTGAGAAGACCGATACAAAGCGATCGGTGCAACATAAAGAGATCCAAACATAGCCACCCGAACAAGGGAAGGTACCTGCATCACTGTACATGCCAAGCTTTAATTTTTGTGTAGGATGTTTTTCACAATATTGTTCAGCTCGGACCAATCCTTGTTGGATTAACCATTCAGTGAATTTAGTAGCTGAATACATTAGAACTCCTTTTACTTTTATATCTGTAGTAAAAATGTAGTAAAATGAAAATTTGTCATATTTAATTATAAATGACTACAAAATGATAGTACAATTTGTTACATTTGTTATTACAAGTTATGTTTTTTAAATAAAATTCAAAATTATGATCATGCAAACCTAAATCTGCTCTTTCTTTTTGAGTACTTTGTGAGGTAACATTTTTAGTTTTGAGATTTGGTCTAGCAACAACAACCAATGATGGATAAGTTCGTCCACCATTCATTTTATTAAATGTAACTTCTCTTCCATCAGGTAGATTTTTTTTGGATTCATCAATTATTTCACCAGCTGAACCAATATTATATAATATTAGTTAAATTTTTATTAGAATAATAATTAACAAAAAATTATTATTGTTCACCTGCTACTCTGTTACCAATTGCAATCCCCCCTATACTATTTTGCTCTGATGGTCTAGGCTTTACATGGACTTGTGCCGCTTGTTGCTTTGGCAAAGTTTTTATTCTAAGATTTGTAACACCTTGTGGAGTGGTTGAAGCTGGCAAAATATAAAAGCTTAGAATAAATTTCTTTAAAATATCTAAAATAAATAAACATTATATTTACGAATTTGTGATGAAATGAAATATTTTACATACTTGGTGTAACAACATGTGTTGCCGTAGTTGGCTTTGAAGTTCGATTTATTATATTTGGAGGCTGAAAAATAATTATATTGCAATTGAAAAGTAGTAAAATTATCAAAACTTAAAGAATGTGTTTATACTTCTTCTATAATATCCGGTGGTTGTAATTGGAGAAGTTTTGTTTTGCGACTGGGCCTTGTATGTTTATACTGAAATTCCACAGAATTAGTAAATGAATACTTTCATTTATAAATAGCATCATAAAATAAATATAATTGATATACATTGTTTCGAAATATATTTTATTGATTACTTTATAATATAGTGAAATTTATAAATACAATTTAATATAGTAGATAGCTTTCAATTTGAATGTTAATAAAAAAATTATATAATAAATATAACGTAATTACTGAATTCTCTATTGGTGGTTGTTGAGATACTGAAGTAACGGGTGCAACAATTGGTGAAGATGTCGTCATAGTACTCATTGTTGTTGAAGTTGTATTAGTTATATTTGTCATAATAGATACAGGTGAAGCAACTACACCTAAAAATGAAAACATTATTAAAACTATGAATTTTATAATCGAATGTTATTTTTCATTAATATTATTTTTTATTTATATGTAAATGAAATACTATATTTATTTATAAGATTTACAGTCATTTCATTGTGTTTAAATTTAATATGAAGATAGTAGAATATAATTTTTAAAATACACACCTTGTTGTGGTGCAACAGTGCCAAGAATAACACCAATTCTTGGATCCATTACAAGTTGAATGTTTCCTTGAGGTGTTGATGTGCTATTTAGCATATTTAGTTTGATTGTTTGGTTATTGGTATTACCACTTTGATTCTAAAAATTTAGTTTTATAAGAAGATATTCATTTAATTAATTTGAAAAAAATACTGAAATAAATAAAAGAATTTGTTTTCTCTTAATAAAGAACTTATTTATTTTAAAATAAACTTACAACTCCAATTACTTGAGTTTGAGTATTGGGTTTAACTGCTGCTGCAGCTGTTGGAGCACTAGTAGGCCTGTGTAAATAAAAATAAAGTATTTTATTTAAAGTATCCGCATTAATACTTCAAGTAACCGCCAATACTTACAATTGGTATTGATATCCACTAACAACACCAGCTTGACATATTAGTGTTCCTCCATGGTCTTTTATCAGTGATTCCAACATTTTAGAAACCTACAAACATAATAATTTTATTTGAAAATGAATATAATTAAGAAGTATTATTTAAATTAAAATATTCAAATTTACCGTGTCACATTCATTTTTAAGTTTAGCTCTAGCTGCCTTTTGATACGAGCTCAATGGTTCATCTACACATTCCATTTTTAATGTCATTCCTATTGGTTTTACGTTTGTGACAGAACGAATGACTAGTTTGCTTTTAGTCATTGCTATCTGTAAATTTATAAATCAATTTTATGTAAAAAAAAAACATCATTTTCAACATTTATAATTTTTTTTGGTTTCATTTCGTAAGGACTTTTATTCTAAATACTAAATTTTTATTTTTTAAGTAAAAATAAAATAGATAAGTTTTTGTGTATAATTTTTACAAATTTAAACTTTATTTTTTCATGTATGTATTTTCTCACTGACGCTATAATTTTTCTTCAATAAAATAGTATTTTTTACAAAGTGTATAGGAATAACATTATTTTCTTTGATGAAAATTTTTGTAAAAAACAATTAGTCACTGAGGGCTAAATACTGTAAGTATAATGAATTAATAATTTTGAGTTATAATTTATAAATTTTATATATTATCTTGAAGAAACCGAATTTTTTTCACTTTAAATGGGGCTATTTTTAAAATTTCTGAAATTAATTTATTATGTAATAATGTACAGTACTCTGTTATTCTTATATATTTTTTATGCTAATTGATTATTAAAACGCCTTAAATATCCTAAAAAACGGTTACTATTACCTTTCCAGCCAATGAAATCGTCTTCATCTTTAGAACGTCTTCATTCATATACCATAATTTTGATTGTACTTTTGTTTGGGAAATATAATAGTGGATTTAAATGTCATCGGCAATGGTTAATCAGTGCCAAAAATTTATTGTATTTAAATCGTTCTATTAAAGTTTTGAAAATGTTCATCCGAATATATTTTTGGTATATGGTGAACAAATGTGATATCCAATGCCGCGTAATGAACTTTTGCATCTTTAATTTTTCAGTCAATGTTTCACGAATAAGTTCTTTGAATATACTCAAGGCTTCCGACATCTCTAAATTCAATTTAATGGTTATTCAGTACCACTTAGATTTTTCTCTTTTATCCTTCAAAATTACAGTTTCTGTTCAATCCAAGTGCTCATAATAAAAGTTGCTACATTCACGTTTAAAAACAGTAATCTATCTTTTTACGAAAAATTATGAGATAGGGGAGAATTTTTATAAACAATTTTTATTCTACAGATGTATCATTATTTTAAATAGAATCTTTAATCACAGCTAATTTCTGTTTATTCTGATTTTTATGAAAAGAATCTCCAATTTAAAATTTATATATATAGATTTATTTCTAAGAGCTTATTCATTTACTCTAATGTACTCCGGGATAAACTAATTTATTATAAATTAATATATTTAAGTGTTTGAATTATAAATTGAAACGAAATATTTGAAAAAGTTTGGATAATATATCAAAAATATTGCAATAAAATAAATTATATATAATGATAATCATAACAAGAAATGAGGTAAAATTCGAGCTTTCAAAAATATATATATTTTTTAAATTTATTAAAAGTTTTTCTGTATTTCTAATTGATTAATTTTAATGACATTTTTACAATATGTTTATATTACATTATTATTATATTGATTATTATTAATATATAATTATATATACTAATTATATATACTTTATATTTTGATAGCAAATGAAATTTTCTTGATTTTTTTTTTTAAGTAAATTATAAAATATAACTGATGTTCATTTACACACTCATGCACATACACAGGTGTACAGAAAAAATATATTAGTATTTCATGTCTTCATTACTTAATTTACTTTTATTTCATGAGTATTATTATTAGTAGTAGTAGTATTAGTATTAGCATTATATTCATTACATTAAATAAATTCATATAATTATTCTATGATACAAATTTTACAAAATTTGTCTCTTAGTTATAAATCTGATATTTACCATGAGTACTCCAATTAATGATACCACAGTTACTATGCAAAGAATAGTGATGAAAGACAATCTCGCTATCAGCAGTCACCTTCACAGCTTTCATGCATCTTCATATTCTTTCCTTAATTTGTATGTTAAAAATTTCAATAATAAATTTCTCTTTTTCTCTTCGTATATATACAAATCTATTTTTTTTTAATGTTATCCAATAAATAAAATATTTATTCCAATATTATTTCTACATTTTAAAATAATTATAAAATATATTTTCTGATCTTTTAATTTTTTTAATAACCTTTAAATTTTTAACCTTTATAAAATTATATTTTTTTAATCTTCAATTTTCTACATTGAAAAACCATATTTAATAATTTTAGTTATTATATTCCACTAAAGTAACTTTGAGTACATATTAATCTATAAGCCAATATATTATAAGATTACTTTCATAAACTGTCCCATAAACCTTAATTATAAAAATATCAAAAAAATAATAAACAACTTCTTATTGAATCCATGGAATATATTATTTGAAGGAATTAAAAAAATAGTAATTTTAAATAAATTAAATAACAAAATTTGCCGACTTTTTAATTGAATTTAAGCTTTTTTACATTAATTATTGTTTACCTATGTAATATTCTATGTAATACTCTGTAAAATTCTATGTAATATTTGTATAATATATTTGTTTAGGAATATTTAACTCTTTTAAAATAACTTTTTCTTTGAACATAGTTAGAACATAAATTAAAATACCATTCTAGTGAGTTAATTAAAATATCAACCTCTTTACACTTGTATTATCCAATGATTAGAAAATATTTTCTTAATCCTTTTTTTTAATTTCTTTTTTATTTCTATTGCGAATCATTGTGATTCGTTTTTGTGATCTTCCAATTCTAACATTTTGAACCAAATTGTGCTCTCGAAAATGCTTGTACAACTTATAAATTGCTTGTTTTTGCATATTAAATTGACCAAAAGCTGTTTGTAACATTTTAAGCACTTTAAAATATTTTAGTTTCATGCAACAAAGTATTATGTATATCTTTTAATACATTATTTTAAAATATTAATAACTCGATGAACACAAGAGACCATAATTCGTTTTGTTATTAAATAGGAACGGTACATTCGGTATTTATTTGTACAATCGGAACCAGGTGTACCAATATTAAATAATTCCTTTTTTACACGTGCAAAGCGGGAAATAAAAATGAATATGAACTATTTTATTAAATATCTTTGTGATTTAAAAGTTGCCAATTTTCATTTATAATTTATAATTTATTATCAAACAAATGAATGAATTTAAATACATAAGCAATTTATGCATTAAAATTATTTGTATCTTGTTAAGTTTCTATTTTAAAGTATATATAAATTTAGTAATTTATAGAACAATTTTATTATTTTCTACAAATATATTTTTACTTGTATTGCTTTATGTATTTATTCTCCTGATATTATAAATTTTATTTATTTAAAATAAATCTATAATAAAAATACTGAATTTGTAATATGAAACACATTGTGCAATATTATATAAAAAAATATGATTAACACGTATAAAAGATTGTAATCTAAATTTATTAAATATGAAATATTAAATATATGAATGATAAAAAATACTTATATATAAATACTAAATTATAATGTGTTTAACCTTTAAATTATTTCTTATTCTTAATAGAAAATACTGAATATTTAGTTTAAGCAATTTTTTATATTATATTATTTATATCATTAAAATTAAATATTTTTTAATTATTGCAATTATTATATTATTATATTACAACTATTTTATTGTATAAAGCCTAATAGTTTATATATAATTGAGAAGTAAGAATTTCAAATATAAATTTATAGAGTACTTAATTAAAGCATTCAATACTTTAATACATGATAAATTATGATTTAATTGATTTAAGTTATATTATATAGGTTTAATCTATATATACCCCCCTCCCACACATAAATACATGATTTCATATAAAAATTTAATTTTATCTCATTAATATCTACTATTATAAATATTAAAGAGGAAATAATTTATTACGTTGTATTAAAAAAAAGTTAGAATTAATTTAAAATTACTATTTAAGCAATTATAAATACATATTAATTATTTGTATGACCAAATCAATAATTTTGAAATTGTGAAATAAAAATCTCTATAAAACGTTTAATTTAAAATGGATCAAGTTTTTTTTATCATATTTTACAAAACTAATAGATGACCTTTTGAAAGTTAATTATATATAATAACAAAAATGTAATGTAACAAATTAAAAGAGACAAGTAAAATATGCATAATTTCTAATATGTTACAAGAAATATATGTTTAATTAAGAAAGAAAAATTTTTTGTTTATTTAATTAATAATGAAAATATATATATATATTAAATTCAATTGATTAATTCCACTTTTTCCACTAATATTGGTTTAAAAATAACAAAACAATATAGATATCACGAATTTAGAAGATTCATCATTTTATTACTAAAGTGGTGTTACAATATCAACAACTTACGAATTTGGATGGTTCCGTATTTTGTCTTGTTAGCCGGTGTATGTGTCCGATGTTGCGTTTTCTTAAACGCCTCCAGCAGCAACAGTAGTGAAGTTAAGAATACAATTATGTATGTATAGATGCGTAATTTGGATTGAAAAAATATATTTTACGCCCGCGACTCTTCGCTACGGTCTGTTGACGACGACCCCGAGGACTCGCGGGCCAGGAAGCTAGAATAAATTACGTAGAAATAAGGCGCGCGACGATAACAAAACTAACCGCAAATCCGGCACATTTTGGATCTGAACAAACTGTCCGTGAATGTTGTTGGTGATCGTGGTGCCCACTTCTGGCCAAGAATATTATTTATTCAAGTTATCGGCCGAGGCTTATTTGATAAAAACAATATTTTGAAAGTTGTTCATGGTAAATCAGATTTTTTTGTTCATAAGTTTTGTCCAATTGTAGAGATTTTTATAAATAATTTAGTTATTAAATCCGTTTTGTAAATGAAATAATTATCTTATATTTTATAAAATATTAAATATTTTCCTTTTTTAAATCTGAACAACTATATTTGTTTTGACATACATACATATAAATCTGTTCAAGATTGCAAGAATCTTTTCCAATGCCATAAAACATCTGGTAAAACATCATTAAGTACTCGTTAGACTGAAAAGTCCTGCCCATAAAACATCTGGCAAAACAAGTCGTTAGACTCGGGAAAATCCAACCTATTAAGCAGCTGGAAAGAATCGCTCTAACCAAAAATCTAAAATTTAACGGTATGTACTCCCCCCCTGTGGTCACAACCGTCGTGCGACCGTCAGAGGCCCGTCGAGAGCAATGAGATCGAGAGCTCTTCTTGACGGGAAGACCAAGAGAAGACTGAGCTTCGTGATTGAAGATGATACCACGAGAGGCGCTGCCTTCGCTCTATAAGTCGCAAGCTCTCCGATTGGACACAAAAAAGGGAAGAGATTCCAAGTGGACACCATGGTCAATGAACTGTATTTAAGAGGGACAACCATAAGATTTAAACACTCACGTTGAAGTCCTTAATGAAAAAGGAAGTGAAAAAGTTCCCTCATCGGAGTCCGAAGACAAGTACCAGTTGATGTCCTCATTGAAAAAGGAAGTGATAAAGTCCCTCAACTGCGTCCGAGATTAGGCTTCGTTTGTAGTCTCATCTACTTAAGGCGTCATAGCCATCATCTCAAAATCAAGGTTTCTGCAGGAGCCAGATCACCGAGCATACTTAAAGGATTAAGGCCGCTTCAAAGGTACACGCAAAATTATCTTAACTAATTCTTTTGCTTGTTATACCAAGGAGAATCTCGCTAGTGCTCCACACGCGCAAAGCACCCGTCGGCAAGCCAATGTTCGCAACTTCAGCGCTCAGCTTACCGATATTACCTCCCTCCAGCTCGGGTCCCACGCTCACGAAGCATGCATCGGTAAGCCAATCTTCGTGCCATTCAGCGCTCATCTTGCAAAAACATCGAAACAGCACGTGCCCCACCAGCGCACGAAGTAATCGCAGAAACATCACGCGGCTCTATTCGAAGAAGTATTAAGAGCTTTACAACCTCTCACTTCCCAGGGAATAGCATCAGTGCACTACGCCAAGAGAAGCAAAAAATATACAACTTCCTGCCTCTGGCTAAAGCGCATGCTAAAGCTAAGTGTGATCTGTCCAGAACCAATAGTTCATCGATTGTTATCAGCAACAAGAATCATTCCTGTATTTGGAAATTAACGAAATAAACAGCATAGCAAACAGATGTGTTAATATTGAATTTAATACGCTATCCCTTCCACTTGCCCGTGCATCTCTACCACATAACATCTCGTGGTCTCTGAGTCGTCTATATGAACAATTTTGGTCCTTCGAACAGGATTTGGTAAAACAAGCCGGATCATCAGATATATTTTGCATAAAATCATATTTTTTAAAATTTGTTATGAATATAAATTTTATATTTGTTATTAACAAAATATTCTGATGATTATACAATTAGATTTTCGAGAGTAAATTTTCTTTATTTTAAATATGTACATATAAATTTGCAATATTATGTATTTATGAATTTTAATCTAGAATTATTATAAAAATCAATATTGATATTTTATTGATTGATATAATTCAAAGATGTAAAGTAAGAAAATATCTGAAATAAATAAATTTTTACTAATTTATAAAAATAATTCCTACTGCTATATTACATTTTTGTTTAAAAAAAAATTGAATTAATTATGCCATTTTGGAAATAATAATTTTTTTAATAGATTAAAAAATTACTTGTTCTCAAATGGTCATAATTGTTGATTACGGCTAAAATTAGAAAGAAATCTTACATATTTTTAATTTTTAATGTACATTTCAATAATGAAGTTAGTTAATCATTAAAAATTCTGTAGTTTATTAGATAGGTTCAGTTTATAAACTAAATTATATATTTTTATTTTTGTTCATGTTTTAATCATACAGGCATTTGTAAAAAAACCCTCTTGTAATGTTAGCTTCCTTTTTTTGGTTGTTTGTTTTTTGTAAGAAATAATTTTGAGTCTACATTAAATATATAATTGAAACTCGAATTTAGAAAGTAAAAGAAGAATATTATTTTTCATATTAATTATGTATGCGTGAATAAATGGCTAAAGATATGGGGGGGGGGTATGAGGGTTTGAATGGAATTTATATATATATATATATATATATATATATATATATGTTTCGGGAACTTTTCTGCAGTGCGCATGAGTTTAATACCCCTGAGATTCATAATGTTTAAAGAAGTTCAGGACTAGAATCTCATTTTTTTAGCAAGCGTCTACAGGATTGTTAATAAATAATTGACTAATGGGATTAACTAGTTTGAATTAGTCAGTTTATAATAAATGTATTACTTTTACAGTAATTCTATTACCATAGATGCTATTGTTCTATTACCAACCAAATTTTATAATTGAAGAACATGTTAAACGATATAAAATTTGATTAAAATTTGGTTTATTCTTAATGCATGGAAGTATATAAGATTGCAATTTAATCAAATATAATAATGAAGAAGTTTATTTAATTTACTTACATTTTTCTATTTGGTGATTATTTCTGTTGATATTTTCAGTTTTGTTTTACTATATATATATATATTATTTTTTATTTTTAAGTTATTTATTTTTTGTTTTGTACATATGAAAATCCAATGTACATATCTGTATATGTATTTAAAAATATAATAAAATAATAAAAAATCAAATAATATTACTTTATTAAAAATGCAGAACATTTTAATAAATATTTAAGGTTAAAAATTAAATGAATTCAGTATAAAAAAAAATATAAAAATATACGAAAAAAGTTACTCAAGCCCATTTAAGTACTATTCTTTGCCATTTTTACTTTATGACATGAAAGAATTTTTACGAAATTTGTTATTAAATCAAGATTTGTAGACAATAAAAGTTTTATACAGTTATTGATTAGATAATAATATTTTTATAGTAATTGACTGAATATTGTTCTTTTAACTCCAAATTTGAATTTTTTATTTCAACACTATTATCGAATTTGTTATTTAAATAATATTACAAAAGAGGTACAGGATTTAAAGGAATACGATGAATAGCTTATTTTATTTTTTTCAAAAAAACAGTTTATTATCCAACTGTACGTCTTTATTAAATGTGCATTAGATAACAAAAAGAAATCATAAACATTCAAAACACAGTCGCAGATATAAGCTAATACTCTTTTTTGACCAAATGTATCCTGATTATTTAAGCATTGTTTCTTTTATTTTTCAATATATATACGGAAAATTGTATTTTTTCGTAAATTCACATTTTCTTTGTGTTTGATCAATCAATTTTTGCTATTATCATAATTAATAATAATATGATTTTCATTTGAAATTTTTTACTTTTTTTGTTGTATATGACGAAATGACTTTTACGTATACATATTATTTACAAGAACATTCATTTTATCATTAATTCATTTGTTTTAGTTTTTTATTCGAATATTTGACGTATAAATTTACATCAATTTTGTTTCATATTTATGGGAAGTTACATCGGTCTTTTTATTTCATAATTTTTGATTCTTACGCTGCGCAACCATACATAGAAGCATATTTTTATTATACACGTACACATTTTTATTTTATTATATGGGACTGAGTATGTATTTTATTTTACTTTCTAAAATTATTTTTATCAATAAATGAACAATTGATTCATTTAAATGTATTGCATTCATTATTTACATACTGAAAGCCCTATTGTATGTTAAGAAATTTATATGTTAATCATAGATCTGGAATTATATGTACGTAAGAATCGTTTCAAGATAAATAATGTTATACTTAAAATATTTCATTTTCTACTTATTACATTTTATTGTTTAATTATTTTATATTGTTTTTAACTATTATTTTTAATGTCGTCTATAAAATATTTGAAGGATTTTTTTATTTAATAAATATGCGCAATGTTTCTACACATAAATTTTCTATTCTTCTCTTTTATGGTAAATAATATAATGATTGAATTTTATTAAAAAATTATTAGTTTAAACATTTTTATGGATATTCACGTAATTATTAGCCATAAGTAAGAAATTGTCTTTGAGATTATTTTCGATATTATTGTTTTATAATCATTAGTAATAATTATCTATACACTGAGCTCATTTTTCTTTCAATTTTATATATTTTCAAAATATTTATTTTCGAACCTTTGTAAAAACAACACTTTTTTCGTTTCTGTAATTATATAAATCAATATTTATTTTTAAAAAATTTTATCATAAATTTTGTTTAGTGTTTAATTAATTAAACCATAAGTATTTTTCTAAATGTATATATTTATATGTAACTATTAAAAACAAACTTGAAGCATTATAAAAATAGTTACTTTTAAAAATTGATATCAATTTTATTATTATTATGATAAACAAAATTTATTTTTGTGTGGGAAATTCTCTGCAATTAATTTATAATTTTTTAAATAAAAGTCCAATAATGTTTTTATTTGATCATTCCAATAACCAAATTTATTTTCAATATTTTCAAATAAATTATGTTGAGCTTTAACTTAAGTGTATTCAAAGCACGCACATAAATTTTATTTTATGGTAAAATTGTATTTCGATGGATATATATTTAAGGAATTAAAATTTGAATATTAATCTTATATTTCATATTTCCTAAACTTTGATATATTATATTGATATCATTTACGAATTTAAAAAAATTTAAAATTTGTTATAGATGCAATGTTCTGATATAATAAATAAAAGGCATATGCATATTTTGAAAAATTTATTCCACCTATTGAAACATTTTTTATGTCTATGTGATTTTTTTTTATATTATTTCGAAACGTTTGTTGCTTGTCACAAAATCTTACATTTAGAAACAGTTATTGTATATTCACTCTTGAAATACTTTTTAAAATATGAGTATAAAATATTTTAAAAATTTAATAGTTATAATACTATTTGCTAAAATATAACTTATTTTAGATCAAAGAGAATTGAATATACATATTATAAATAAAATTTATGAATGTTGATAGCTAAACAAAATTCATACATTTACACATAAATTCTAACATTCGTTTATTTAATCAAATAGACAATATTCAAGACAAACAATTATTTACTTTTAACGATGTAAAATTAAAGAAGATAAACAACATTGAAAATTGTCATTATCATACAAATGCCTATGAATATTTTTGTTTAATATTCCATTTAAATGCTTCCATTTAAAGGTGTCAAATTTCTCACCTATATAATAAATATTTACGCATTGTATAGTAATATTTTTATTTCCATTATTATCGCCATGTTTGATTGTCCGTTATTATCGTCGGAAAATCGCGCGTGATACGCTAACAAAACGAGAAATGAAGAACACCTTATTATGTTGTTTTTTAATTTTATAAAAAGAAAGTATTTTCATAATTGCTTTTAGTATATTCAAAAGAAATTTGAAATATATATGATTTAATTTTTCATTTTATTATATGGATTCTTATCTTTTGGCTTTGTATTAATACTCAGTTCTACTTTATAACTTTTTAATTATGTTGTAATTAATAGTAAATATAGTTTAAAAATTTACAATTTTCTTTTTTTTTTTAAATACATTATTTTTAATTGATGTCTTGCGATAATTTATGTATGTATATCAATATACAAAAAAAATATTTCATTTAATTCAAATTGTGATAAAATGTATATGATAGTAAATTAATTTAATGTAATTGAATAAAAAATTATTTTTATTTTGTTCATTTCGTTTTACAAAACAAATATTATTTTCATGTATGTCATTAAATTAAAAATATACAAATATACAAAAAATATTTTTATTTACTAGAATATAATAAATTATTTACTATCCAAATATATATTTACAAT